ATCTCAGGAAGTAAATGAGTATCTCACAAGAATCAAACTGGAGTCAAACACATTCACAGCTGTAAATTCATACAAGGGGTACAACAATAATTGGATCAGACAAAAGGCACCATGGGGCCTCTAGTGGTCAAAACCGGAAAACCCCCGGAGGTCAATTACAACGAGATTTTGGCAATATTGTGAATAAACTATAAATAATTTAATCAAACTGATGTGATTAAGCTCATAATTTAATGTGAGTAGATTAAAACAATGGCCAGTTACATGCACATTGTATGTCTTTATATCTGGTTGTGGTATAACAATAGGCCTACTTATTAGCGAATAATGAATCAGAATAATGAAAATTGCTCATGTCATGTAAATATCGTACCACGATTAAGACCTTACTCTGATTATTATAAATAATCCCATTAGTTCACATGTAAACATAGTCACTGAAACTGTGAGCTGATTTATTTCTTCAAATGCCCTCATTATAGTTCATGATAAAGTGTGTGTGTGTCTCTTTTTCAGGGTCTAAGATCTCTGTCCTCCACATACTCAGTTCTGTACTGGCAGCTTGTCCATATCTGCTAGTGACAGTCGTGCTGATTTACAAATGCTGCAGAATGAGAGGTAAAACATATGACTGATTTATTAGAAATAATAATCAACATTATTTTCAATTGGCGAATTTTGACTGCTGTCTTTTGCTTGCTCGCTGGAGGAACATTGAATCTGTCCTTGAGCATACCTCTGCTAAGAAATGAATACAGTGAAAGATGATGGACAATCCTAAGTAAAAATGTTTTGTGTTTATTTAATAGTTATATCTGTTGAAGAAGAAGAAACGTCTATCTGATATTAAACCAAGAAAACTTCCATACTTCCTGGAATCACTCAATATCTCATTCACAAGCTTGGGCAGTATTTGCTTTGAAACTGTGTTTTAGTGACAACAACATTTTAACTGTTCATGTTTCTTCTTTTACAAATAAAGAACTAATCCTGATTCAAAAAACAAAATTGGAACTGTTGGTAATTCTTGCATTGTTACTTCAGATAAAAATAATACTCACATTTTAATCAATTCCTGAACAAAAACGGTCAGAGAACGGTTAACTAGTTACCAAAGTTTTATTAGACCAACGGTTCATTTCGCGCAGGAGTTCTCCTTCAAGCACATTTGTTTTATGTACATTTGCTCACCTGTGTAATACTATGTAGCGTATCGACATTAATAATATACATAATATGTATTTAAGGGGGCTAGAAGGCCAATTTAGCAGAAATCGCCATGATTGGTCATCTTTCATTAGGGACAGCCTAAAATCGTACAATGTGTACCGGGCTGAGTCTCAAATTTGTGTGACCCAATGTCAAATCGACACACTGCTGAATCTACTGTGGGTGTATTTGTTTTAAATTTAATTAAGAAAACTAAATAATCTAGAGAAATATATGTCTCAGATTTAACCTTTGATCTGTACATCAGTATATTCGGGGAATAAAATTATAATCTCATTCACGGTAGTGAAAGCTACATGTGCAAAAGTAACCGTGAAGACTTAACTGTAAACACAGCTATTGTGTCTTCATCAGTTTTTCCATATCTATATACTGGCCCTGATAATCATCACGAATACTACCGTTTGCTCCATTTCTGTAAATCCGTTTATATGAATGAATCACTCTTTCACCCGTTGCTCTACAGTTTTCTTCTTCATCTACTGAAATTGCTGTAGTTCCCGGATGTCAAATGTTGAATTATCTGTCGAATTTGAACCTGGATTTGTGGAACTTAAGCGAAATAAAATGGACCGAAAATTGAAAAGTGAAATATGAAAGGTGAATATGGATTTTTTTAAATATGGAAAACGAGTGTGAAATTTTTTAATTGATATATTCACAGCTTAAACATAATGAATTTCAGCCAGTAAAAATACAATGCATTAAAATGCAAGCAGGGTTAATGCAATGCATATTTTTTTGTCTGTTTCAAAAACATTTGTCATTATTTTACTTCCATAGAGTAACATCCTGTAGGTTAATTTGTAAATTATTATGTTGTATATGTACTTAATATATTTAACATACTGCACACAACATGATCCGTTTCACACTTCTATGGGCGTAAAAAGTGCGTCTTCAGGGTAACTAACCACAAGACGGAAACACAAAAAGTGGCATATCACTCTATTTGTGTTGGGTTTGAGTTCTGTGGGCTGTATGAGAAAGTTTATCAAACATTTTTCAAAACAACATGTCTTGTTATCTATTCATCATCAGGGTAGAGATATCTCCCAAATCAAATTTGAAATATGATGTAAAAATAAAGCCATTTCTGTCCCACAATTCCTGTAAAGCTGCGACATGAAAGAATCAATCTCCACATCACAGCAACACCAACACTACACAAAGGGGTCTGGGACATTGCTTGTTGACCTGTCCAATTCATTAATCTAGCCCAAAGACATTGTTTAACTTCGGTCAATGTCAGCACAATGTGGCTTTAAATCTGTCACCCAATCATTCCCATAGGCACCTCTGAACATAAGACGATTGTTACATACAATACCAAAAACATTAATGCATTAGAAACTGCATGGGAGATGAAACAGTAGAACGTTCTTGAATAACGTCACCTTCATAGCAACCCGAAAACAGGAAGTGACACATACAAATGCACACATCAGTGTTAATCAGCACATCGATTTGAAAAAAAAAATAACACTTTAGTAAGTACATGTTAATTCATTTTAGTCGGTACTTAAATGTATAATATCACAAATTTATAATAAATGTTTCAAATAAGCCACATTTATTGAGCCCATTATTTGTTTGTACATCTGTAAGAATTAATGTACATATACGTCAGAAGAAAGGTTTCTATATATAAAACCTTATAAGGTTTCTTTTAGGCGCTTCATGAAGGGGATTATTTTTTAGGATTATCATCACGGCATTATGTATTTAGTTTAATTAAGTATTATTTTTTATTATTAAATTGTATGAATTAAAAACCCTGTAAACACTTTTATCACAAAAAAATTAAATAAAAGTAACCAATTAAACGTAAGCATTTTGTCAATATTTAAGACAATTCCCAACGCAGTCAGGAGATAATCTGACGCTGTCTTTATCCATATACATATACAAGACAATTAATTTAGAACCTCCTAATTTAATTACCTGTAATTCTGTATGTGTAATATTAACAATATTATTCATTTATTTTTGGATTTTAATGAAATAGTAAAGATTCTGAGAACAGATTAGCATCCAAGGAACTTTACTCAACACCAAACTGACACCATGAAGCCTATTTTCATTTTATAGACCCCTTTTGCGCCGACGTCACAGTTACGTCACGGCGCTAGCTGGAGGCAAAACAAAGTGAAAACTGGAGGCGGCCAATGCAAAACAGCACAGATTCGGCTACATAATAAGGAGCTTTAATAATTGTTATTATTATTAAATGTCATCTTGTTGTGTTGTTTGGAGCAAGAATTGATGAAAAATGAATATGCTGTATCTGGAACTTTTATTTCTAGAAAATATTCACATCATTAAAATCGCACTGTAATGTCACTCTTTACATTGTCGTGGTCTCGGCAGAACTGCAGATCGTACACACAAGTCTTGTACAGGACCATATAGGCATCTAAAGATTTATATGCCCTCAGTTTCTCTTTACGATCGGTTTCTCTATTCGCCTTATTCACTTGGCGGCCATTTTGAAAATGGAACGCCGCTGAGGGGTACACTCACCTGGAAGGATGCATGCGACGCAGCAGCACCAGCAATGAAAACTCGCAATGCGGACCACCAATCATTCCTGTCTGCCCGAATTAACGATGCAAAATGTGAAGCAAAGTGCCAGTGACTGAAACATCCCCCGGGCTGTGTTAATTAAGGGATACAGTACCTGTATCGGAGGTTTTATCCACGACATTGAACGTAAGAATGGACGCCAATTTACCTCAGTTTCTGCAAGCTTGTAGGAAGTTGACTGTGTACTATTAGAATCTATACAAATCCATTACCATCATTATTTTTATTCTTTATGAATACATATATGTAAACTTGTATTGTCACCATAGCAGCTTATCATTGTCAGTGTGTAACAGGATCAGTCCCTGTCAGACCTTAAAATCACTTCTCCTCTTTCCTTTTACATACGAGTGATTTGATTGTTTTACATGCGTGTGTATGTAAGCTACTGGATGTGTATCTATCTAAACAATAAAGTACAATTGTATCTAACATAGTAACTTACACAGTCAACAACTCCATATTACAGCTTAGCTTACTAACGTTAATTACCTCTGGCTGCTGCAAGCTCGCAGAAACTGGCAAGGCGTCCATTCCTACGTTCAATGTCGTGGATAAAACCTCCGATACAGGTACTGTATCCCTTAATTAACACAGCCCGGGGGATGTTTCAGTCACTGGCACTTTGCTTCACATTTTGCATCGTTAATTCGGGCAGACAGGAATGATTGGTGGTCCGCATTGCGAGTTTTCATTGCTGGTGCTGCTGCGTCGCATGCATCCTTCCAGGTGAGTGTACCCCTCAGCGGCGTTCCATTTTCAAAATGGCCGCCAAGTGAATAAGGCGAATAAGGCAGGTGTAGAAGTCAGGCCACTCAACCGAGGTAACGTACGTTAATCCTGTCAGATCGTCCATGCATTGAGTGAGCATGTAGGCGGCTACGGGTCGGCCAATCTGGTTCCGTCCGTTAAAAATAACTTTTGAAAATAACAATCGCGGTCCTGGACACTGAGTGACCTTACACATTAAGATAATATCGGATTTTCTCCAGTCATTGTTAAAAAACAAGCTAACAATCCTTGCTAACTAGCGTTAGTGAAGCGGCCAAATGGATCTTTCTGCCTCCACCTAAGCTCCGCCCACAAAAAAATGGCACCATGTTTACCAACTGTAAAAGGGTCTATTGCTACATTAGTTGGCAACCTTTCCCCGCCTCCCTCCCTCCCTCTCAGTGTCAGCAAGAGCAGGGGCTGGACTGCACTCACTAAACTCTCACTGGCACTTCAGGCTTCTTCAACATTTAGAGTCAGTGAGAAAGACACAAGACCTACTTCGGGAAGCAAGATTGAGTAAAGGAGGCATTCAAATAAAAAAGCCTCACAACTTTTGTTTTTTCCTAGATAGTGAAGAGTCTAGTCCTGCATGGAAACAGAAGACAGTTGGTGAGGAACGACTTTTGAAGAGTCTCAAGACATTTCTTGCACGGGATTGATCAGGATCAAATCATAAGCTGTTTTCATTTATTTTTTTATTTTATCGGATTTTTCATTTCTCGTTGACTCTTTGACCATGAGGAACATGTATCTGCTGAGTCTGGGTGAGTCACACTTCAGATCTTTGAATGAAGTTTCCACAAATCAATGTAGAGACAGATGTTTGTGTGGAGCCACTGTGTGGTTTTGCTAACTCAAACGTTGCCCTGCCGACAACTGCGTAATTTACTGTTTTAAAAATAGACAAACAAATGGCCATGAGAGGAAACTGCCACAGATAGGAAAAACTGATGTCACAATGGGGTAGTATTTGTGTGAATCAGGGTCCATGAGTGCTGGTTATCTGGAAAGCACCAGATGAATGTGAGAGATGAATAGAGAAGAAGCAGAGGGTTCTGCTCCGGTTCCCGTAGTCTTAAGACATTCAAGAGCAGTGTTGGGGAGTAGTTAACTACAAGTAGTGAAGCTACTAACTTAACTACATTTTTGAGTAGCTTGGCAGTAGCTCAGTTGCTTTTTAAACAGTGAAGCTTTTCCAAAGTAGCTAACTACTTTTTGCAGCAAGTAGCGGTGTAGCTCGAGCAAAAGCTACATTGTGTTTGTCGAGGCTGTGCGAATCAGCGCGCTGCTAGGATATTCTTCTTCTTGTTAGATTACAAACTCATTTTTTTGCCATCACCGCTACCTGTTGTTTAATCACACATCTGCTTGTAGCTTGTCAAACTACAGTTTCAGAGTAGCTTCCCCAACACTGTTCAAGAGTTTGGAAAACATCCATGAATCAGAAGGTCTGGTTATTATTAGCACATGATTTTGAAGAGATTGAAACAAGGACTGATATATGCAAACACTGTCATGAACCTTCAAAATCACAATAGTGTGCGTTCAGTATGGGATGTTGAGGGACAATAAGTGAAACTGGGTGTTGTTTAGCTGGGTTAGTTCAGCCAAATATGACAATTCTGTCATTATTTACGCACCTTCACTCTTATGGGTTCTTGACTAAATTTTAAAGAACCCTTTATGCTAAAAAGGCTCAATATAAGGAGAAATATTTGCATAATATACTTTCATGTTTAATAGGTTATTTTTTTTCTATTAATAAAGTTTGTTTACGAGCAGATTAATTCATAAATTTTAATTATATATATATATATATATATATAAACAATTTATTAGAAAGTTAAATTACCCCATGATGTAACCCCTATAATGTTAAATTAAGTGTCTGACAGAATCCTTTAAAGTTCTATATAGAACATTTCTTCTAGAGATGTCTTTTTAACCTGTATGACTTTTTTTCTGTTGAACACAAAATAATATATTTTGAAGAATGTTGGTAATCAAACTGTTTTCATGAGCAATGACTGCTATTTGGACAAAAAAAAGAAAAAAAGAAAAAGAAAAAAAGAAAACTGAAATGTTTCTCAAAATATCTTTCTTGTGTTCCTCAGAAAAGAAGTCATCTTTGGGTGAACTATCTAACTATTTTGGCTTTGATTTTGACAAAGGAAAATATTAGCGGAAACCGAATCAGGACAGGAAAGCCGAGGTGTTTTAGGTCTGTCCACACAGTTGAGATGCCCAGAATAATGGGATGGTGGCATTAAACCAATGAAAAACTATAAGAAGGGGAAATGTTACTTAAACCTTTCTGTTAGGCAGAAAAGAATAAGAACAAATTCATGAAACAATTGTTTGTCTGATGGTTGCACAATACTGAGCAAGACCACACCTTCGGTTATGTTGGAGTCACCACTGTGGGTTGTAAAAAGTCCTACACTGTTTTTAAGAGTCTCCTGTGTGACCCTGCCTGTGGTCAGAGCATGTGACGGTGTGTCGGTCTGAGGGCTGGTTGTGTTAAATCTGTTTGCTCCAGTCCTGCACAGAACCTCACACTTCCTGAATCGCCATCATCTCAACGAAACTGTCATGAACAATGAGTGGAAATAGCATTACATGAATAGATTAATCAATCAAGATTAATCGATTAATAAAATAGAAATCTTGTTATGCTTCTTTCAACGTTGTCTTCTCAGACTGTTTTTTCATCATGGGCGATAAATAAAGGCTGATTTTGGCAGCGTGACTTACAGTATATATAAGATTAGATCATGGCTTAGTGTGACATGCACGACTGTTAATGCTCAATGGCACCAATGTTTACAAACACAGTTCATTTACAGTATTCAAGGCCAATTATGAAAATGCTTCTATTTTCTATTAAATGCAAACGATTTAATTACATAACTTGAAGAGTAAAAAGTTGAAGTGGAAATTAACATGAAAATCAGAATGTCTTAGTATTGTGTTGTTTATTTGCAGGTTTTAATGTAGTCTCAGACATTTGGATCTCTGTAAGTACAGTACGTCAAGCTATTCAACAAAGTCATTAAACACTTTTTATTTGTTTATAGGTCTTCTATTGGCACTGACAGAGAACATCATGAAGGTGACGACCTGCGACATTGGATTGAGTAAGATTAAGGGAAAATGCATAGGTATGGATAAAAAGACTAACATGATATACAACTCTTTTTCAAAAGCTTTAAGCAATATCAGGGCTCAACACGATTTAACTTGGATTATACATCTACATTTATACTGACCCCACAAAAACATGATAATCAAGTTTTGTTGATATAGTTTATCATTTAAAAAATAGCTATAATTAAAAAAGATACAAATTATATTGAGGATAGGACACATTTATGAACTGAATCTGCATGCACGATGCACTCATTAATAAACTGTAACCAAAAATAAAGAAGAACTTCTGTGGTTATTCATACATTTTCTGTCATTATAGATGACAATGAGTGTGAGTCTATTCAGCCGCCCGTCTGTGGAGAAGATGCAATATGCTTCAATACATATGGAAGTTTCTACTGTCATTGTAATGGAGGGTTCGAACCAACTCACAATTTCACACAAACTGATGGAATCAAATGCGAAGGTAAAGATAACTTGATATGACGCATCTTCTCATATGACCTCTGTGTAGCACAAACAACATCTGAATCTCTGTTCATCTCATTACAGACATCAATGAATGTACGGATGGAAGTGCTGTGTGCGGTCCTAATGCAGTGTGTGCCAATTCTGCTGGAGGTTATTTATGCACATGTAAATATGGCTACATTTCCAGCAATGGAGAAGAGCTGTTTATTACAGAAGACGGAGTTCAGTGTATTGGTAAGAAAGTGTTAGAGCTATAGACATTGTCTGGCCATCTATTGTTCAGCACTGCTTTTGGTCTAATGTGAGAGTTTTCATGTAACATGTTGTTTATCTACTGTCCCTGAATTACAGACAGAAATGAATGTTTGGATGGAAGTGCTGTGTGCGGTCCTAATGCAGAATGTGTCAATTCTGCTGGAGGTTATTCATGCACATGTAAATATGGCTACATTTCCAGCAATGGAGAAGAGCTGTTTATTGCAGAAGACGGAGTTCAGTGTATTGGTAAGAAAGTATTGGAGCTATAGACATTGTCTGGCCATCTATTGTTCAGCACTGCTTTTGGTCTAATGTGAGAGTTTTCATGTAACATGTTGTTTATTGTCGGTCCCTGAATTACAGACAGAAATGAATGCGACGATCCCGGTATTTGTGGAATAAATGCAACATGTCACAACACCCCCGGTTCACATTACTGCATTTGTGCTGTGGGCTTCACACTGACGTCAGGAGAAACTAACTTCACTGATTCAGATGAACTCTGCATGAGTAGGTCCTTTAAAACTGTAAAGTAATCTAAAATAAATTTTAGATTATTCTGAGAAATGTTTGATCCTTCTCCAACATGTTGTTTTCATGTTGTTAAAGGTGTATGTGACATTGATAAATCTATCTGCGGAGAAGGAACCTGCACAAACAGCAAAGACGGCCATGAGTGTGTGTGTAAGTCAGGATTCACCAACTATGGACACAAACAAATGAAATGCACAGGTTAGTGTTCTGTTAAGATCTGATCCTTTTGGTTTCTGAACCTGGTCTTGCAGGACAAGGAGTTCAGACAGAGTATTAGAACTATAGACATTGTCTGGCCATCTATTGTGCAACACGTTTTTGGATGTTCAGATGACGTTTCAGATGAAACTCATTTGGCGTTTCATGTTGTAGATTAAGTCTTTATGTTCTAACAGTCTGTGTCTTTACATCTATCATTATTTGGTATGGAGATCAGGCAACTTCCTCTTGTGCGCTGTATGTCAGTGGATTTCACATTACATGTTTTAAGCATATGATAGACACCTTTTTTATAGTACTTTTGTTATTTCCTGTCTTGTGCCATGTTTTGTAGTTCGTTGTAGTTTTTCTTGTTTCCTCATTACCTTGTGAAGCTTGTTTGCCCCTCTGTATTTATTGCCCTCTGTTTCTGTTATCCTCTTGGTTTTGTTCCTTAAGTTCTGTGTTATCTGTTTAATGTGTTGCATTATTAAAAACCCTATGTTTAGATCCTTGCCTTCGCCTGCTTTTCCAAGCATGTTATAACTACAAAGCTCAACTTAATTCTAAACTTTGGTGGGTTGTTTAATGTATAAAAAACGCTATCTCACAGCCAATTCGTACGAGTGAGTAAAAGGTTGCTTATTCATACAAAATTTGTAGGACCTCACTTGTACGATTTGTACAAGAAATGGTGTTCTGTAATTTAGGTTTAATATAGTGTATAGTAAAGTTACATATAAAGTGTAAGATTTAAGCCATTTTATTGGTCATTTAGGCCGTTGAAAGTACATTGTTAATGCTTTTATACTTTTAAATTTCCTTTTAATGTTCGATGGTTGAAGGGTGAGTAGATTAAGGTCATCTAATTGTGGCACTTTTAATGTATTGCGTTGATAGAACGAGCATCTCACTGATTTACAGCTTAATGTAATAAGTTGCACCCATAATTCGCGCAAAGCATCATGGGGCGTAGGAATGAGGTGGCTTGTAGTCCTCTTCATTGGTTTGGTGACAGCAAGACCTAATGGTCAGAAAAAAATAGTGCTAGTTTATCTATTAAAGGAGTAGTTCATTTTTGAAAAAAACTCTTGCTGATAATTTACTCACCCCCATGTTATTCAGTCACCGACATTACATTAGTAACCTAGACGTAGACATTACTGTGAAAGATTTCACAAATCCAAATCATGAAGTTAAGAATTTAAAGAAAAGTTAAAAGACCAGGGGCCTCATTTATAAAACTTTGCGTAGGATTTGCGTCAGAAGTGGCGTACGGATGAAACATAGGACGTGCGTACGCACAGAAATATTTGGATTTATAAAACCGTGCGCACGCACATCCTAACGCATTTTTCCCTTAATAAATCACAATCAATTCTAAATGTAGCGCAGCTTTTGCGGCTTCATGTCACGCCCATAGTTGCCCATAAATAGTCCGTAAAACGCCCACAAGTTAATATTCATCGATTGCGAAATCATGTTAAACACAGAGAGGAATAAAAAAAAAAAAAAAGTAACTTCACTCAATGTGAATTAGAAGTTATCGTTGGCGAGGTGGAAAAGAGGAGAAAAATGTTGTTTGGAGGGCACAGTGTGGGCATTACTAATGCCAAAAAAGGCACTTGAGTGGCAAAAGGTTGCAGACGCCGTAAATACTGTGCCTCACCTCGGACTGTGGCCGAAATAAAAAAGAAATGGTCGGATATCAAAGTCTAGTCATTAATTCAATTAGAGAGATGGCCAAGGAGTTGGGCGAAATCAAGACTGTCCTAACTGAAATAAACTGCACAATGAGGGAATTATTGAATGAATAATATATTTTTTCCACACCTGTTGTGAAGATGACGCGTTCACTCCGAATCCTTCCATTTAATCGCCACATCTTCTAAGAGCGCAAGATCAGCCACTATGCGTAGGCTACGCATTGTGATGGGGCATTTTATTTACATCCATTTAATTCTGCATCTGACAAGCTACGGATGTCGGTTATAATCTAAATGGGAAATAGTTCAGCGCAAATGTAATTTCTTGCAGCTTTCTGAATGGTTGAGACACGCCATACGTTATTTTATCAAAAATAAAACAAACTAAAGGCATATGCATGAATACCGTGATTCTATAGCTGATGATGATATTTTTACGATGAAAACAACTTTCCCCAGGGGACAAATAATAGGCCTACATCTATCAATTTATCGATCTATCTATATATCTCCCTAATTATCTATCTGGCTGACTATCTAATTGCTATATCTGCTCCGTTAGACGGACATATTGGCAAGAATATCAGTTTTGTACATTATTTCGTTCTGTTTACCATCTTATTTATGAGGATGAATTGTATATGGCAATATTATTGAAGAACATATTTTTTTCTTTTTGGAAATATGTGTTAATTTGCATTTCTGTTACAGATCGATCAAACGGGTGTTCGTGTAGGCTGTTAATTGTAAGACTTGTGAAGTCTTCGTTTTATTTATGAGAGGCAGCATTGCCATTTATTTTACACAACCGTCTACAGTTTCACACACTTTCACATGTTTTTTCCAACTGCCGACGGTGTCGCCATTTCTCATTTCACCCGTTTTTGTGCGTACGCCTGGGTCAGAGCTTGCGTGAAGGACCGCACATTTTACCGTCAAGTTTGCTTTTTATAAATACCAACTATAATTGCGTAGAGAGCGGCGTACGCCTTCTTTTGTGCGTACGCAACGTTTATAAATGAGGCCCCTGGGCTGCATTTCCCAATAACGGCGCCTCTTAGCGCGCTACAAAGACGCTAAACGTATAACCTAACTAAAGGTGTGCCATTTCTAGGCATGTTCCCCGTACCATACCTTAGGAAGTTGCTTAAAATATACCTTCTTAAGTGCGACAGTGCTGCATTTGTTGATATTGATGGCTCGAGAATCAATAATTAACCCCTTATTATTAACTTCAGAATTATATGTTTATACAGAGATATAAACACTTTTTTTTGTAGTGGTGGCCACCTTTCAACAGTAATAAGGTGAAGCTAAGGGTGGTCCAGACCTTCCGACCGTATGACTTACAGAAGGTGTAATTAACAAAGAACGTTTCGGGAAAAACTTATAAACGATAAGGTACAGCTAAGAACGAAGTAGCGTTAAGAAGGTTTCGGGAAACGCAACAAAGCTGTACTGTGACTATTTCACAAATCAAACGAGGAAGTGAAGGACTCAATGAAGGGTTAACATCAAAACTGTACTGAGAGAATCTTCTATCTATAAATTGCAGGAACGTCTGTCTGTGTGTCTGTGTGTGTCTGTCTGTTAATCGCATATCTCTTGAACCGTTAGTCCGATGGATCTCAAACTTCACAAGTGTCTTGCTACGGGCACGAGTAAGTGCAGTGTCGAGTTTGAAGTTCTTTGGATGAGAAATGCAAAAGATATCGCTAAATATAACGCTAAAAGAAGCACACATTGGCTTTTGCCGCTCTAGCCGCTGGCCACTCCCCCTCTGCAAACTGAGTGAGCACAGCGCAGGACCAGAGACAGAGTGACGAAGAAAGCAGATTTCCTCCCTGAATCGTCGTGCTTATTCATTTGAGCACTCAAACACACCAAACCAAGTTAACAATTGCTAAAAGCACACGGGCATTATTAGTGCAGGACCAGAGACCGAGGGACGAAGAAAGCAGATTTCCTCCCTGAATCGTCGTGCTTATTCAACCAAACCAAGTTAACAATTGCTAAAAACACACGGGCATTTTGCACTATCTATCTATAAATTGCAGGAATTCTACCTATAAATTACAGGAACGTCTGTGTGTGTGTGTGTGTGTGTTAGTCTGATGGATTTCACACTTGACGGGTGTCTTGCTACGGGTGCAGTGCTGAGTTTGACGTTGTTTGGATCAGCTACGCACAAATAAAAATGTCACTGAACTTTTGCCGTGTAATTCTAACAATAAGCACTCAAACACACCAAACCATAAAAAAACACACAAAAACTGATTTTGCACGGGCACTTTGCACTAGTTTTACAAATCAGAAGAATTCAAGGAAGGGTTAATTGACCAGAACTGTACTGTGAAACATAGGCGTAATTTTTTAAACGTCTCGCAGCACGGATGTACCAGAAAGAAACATCTAATTCGTTTTTGTTAAATAAGAGGCAATCTAGCGCTGGAATGTTTTGTTTTTGAAAATCGCGTGCATCATTTCTCTCTTGGGGATTAGGGCTGAACGATTAATTGCATTTGCGATAAAATCGCGATATGATGAAACGCGATTTTGTAATCGCAAGAGCTGCGATTACATTGGTCACGTGACACGCGAGAGAAAAGCAGTCTGCAAAATAAAGCATCAACTTGCCACGCTACGCGGTCTGGCGTTCAGAGAAGAGTTTAGTCTATTTTTAAGTGATATTGTGTTATTTATTCTCTCCTCCACAATCCTGGATCAGAGAATTTCAGAATCGAGTCTGAGCTTAGTTTTTAAACACAGATGCGTGATGACGCTGCGCGTGCTTTAGAAACGAACCGTGTTCTGAATCTGCTTGCTTCTATTTTCTCGCTCTCTCTCTTCCTCACTCACACACACGACACCGCTCTAACCTTCCAAAACATAGTAACGTTATTTCATAAAGTTCGGGATTGAACCGAATTACAAGGACATTCGCGGGCTTCATTGAACAGGTTTTGCCGCTTTGCTTGATGTTAACGTTACACTTGCAGTGCGCGTTCTCTCCCGCGGGAATTTTCTTTACAAATGCTTCACAGAGGCATTATTTATGTCTTTTGGAATGCAGTTGGCTTATATATTAAAACCATGATGAAAATCACTGAGAAGGCTGCTTTCATTTTAAAATACTAACGCGTGCTTTGTGAAGAGCGCTCGTGCATGCGGCCGTGAGCGACTCATTGGTAAATGTACTTGCATGTCAAAATGCTTTTATGACGCGAAATTAATAAAAACACGGTCAGTTATATCTTAAACCAACAGGACAAACCACATTTACAATTTCAAAAGAGATATATGCATTAGTGTAATTGCAGCTTATCGTATCTAAACTGAGGGGAAATCACTCCAGCTCTTGAATGATAAACATTCAGACAGCCTACTTTTAAATACTGAGACCACTCTTTGTTTATTGCTTGTAATGGTTTTTTTTTGTTTCTCTTTATTTACTAGCTTTTATATTTTGAAGCTATATTATTTTATATAGCCTATTTAAAATTCTTAACATGTAATTGGTTTAATTAAATGTTTTTTATATTTATTTTTTAAAGTATGTGTTTTTACACATGTAATTAAATACATATTTTAAGAGTTATTAAGATAAATTAATAAGAAAAAAAGTAGATCAGATCATGAGCTATCTAAAGATTCCCATCCCTACTGTACAATGATTTATTGCTCGTCTTTGTCGACTAATACAGAAGGTAAATAACTTTTTTTTAAATCGCATATTAAATCGCAATCGCAATATTGGTTAAAAAAATCGCAATTAGATTATTTTCCAAAATCGTTCAGCCCTATTGGGGATTGTGCATACTGCACAGTCTTCACACAATTGAGCACGTCAGTCTGTTGTGGAGACTCTCTGTTTGAAATGGGAAATCATTAAACAAAATGCAAAACAAACAAAATCCCTGCTGTTGATAAACAACCACTGAGGAACACCTTTGGTTTTAATTACCAAAAAAAAAAAAAAAAAGTTATACGAGGAGGCAGGGGCGCCGACAGGAATTTTGGGCCCCATGACAAAAAAAAATTCAAAGTGGACCCCAGATAAGATAGATTTGTGTGTGTGTGTGTGTGTGTGTGTGCAAGCTTCTAAAATAAATTGCCCTTCATGATGGGAATAATAAACTCAGTATCTAATAGATGTCATTTAATGGCCAAATGCACTAAGCTAAACTAAATAGTCTAAATGAAAGCATCAAACTGGATTATTTTAGGTCAGGTACACAGAAACTTTAAGGTACAGGTTAAAACACAGAAGCCATTGTGCCTTTGCCATTACGGCCCGACATGTTCGTTCTGCAAATGACCTGTCAGTTTTCAAATCACGCTTGAAAACACACTTCTATTCAATTGCTTTTAATAACGTGTAATCTGTAGCCTCTTAGAATTTTTTCTTGTTCAGTCTGTTGTGTGATATTATATTGCCGTGTAAAGCACATTGGTCAGCGTGTCTGTATAAATGGTGCTATAATCAATTGTGGCTTGACTTTGACTTGACTTGATTTGTTAAAACTTTCGGCAATCTATAGTTGTCACGTTTTTAATGCGTTTAGTTCAGTTCTGTTAATTATCCCATTAGTCCCAGTTCAAGCCCTGTATTTTCCCTCAGTGTTGGTTGGCTGCCGTTAATGTATGGTTGTGTGTTTTAAAGTCCTGGAGTGTTTTCTCTTTTTTCCTGAAAGTTGAGTTTGTACATAAAACAACTACATTGAGGTTCCTTTGTCCTCGTCTTTGGCATCCTGCATAAACCTGACAATAGTACTCCAAATGTTTGTTTTTGTTTTTTTTGTGGTCCGACTGATTAGTAAAGCCAAAGACACGACATTAACTGACCATTTTCGGCAGCAACAATCAACAAAATTTGCGAGTTCTGTTCGGGCATTGTTTACGTTCAGTGCTGCCAATATGGCCGATTTCCGGACTGATGACTTGTCGTAAAAACACCCCATTCACAACAATCACATGGCACAGGTTGCTCAAATCACATAAGTATTGTGAAACTAGGTGTCTATATCTTCCGACGGCACGAAGAACTCAACGGCAGCGCATGCAAACCCGGCATTGTAATGTTCATCACGGCTCTGAATAATATCCACCATAAAATTTATTTTAAATTTAATGTGAGTAGATTAAAACAATGGCCAGTAACATTCATACTTATTAGTGAATGATTAGAATAATTAAAATTGCATGTAAACTGAAGTGAAGAATTCTGCTCGTGTCATGTGAATATCCGCATTCTTACTCTGATTATTATAAATAATCCCATTATTAGTTCACATGTAAACGTAGTCACTGAAACTGTGAGTTGATTTATTTCTTCAAATGCCCTCATTATAGTTCATGATAAAGTGTGTGTGTGTCTCTTTTTCAGGGTCTAAGATCTCGGTCCTCCACATACTCAGTTCTGTACTGGCAGCTTGTCCATATCTGCTAGTGACAGTCGTGCTGATTTACAAATGCTGCAGAATGAGAGGTAAAACATGACTGATTTATTAGAAATAATAATCAACATTATTTTCAATTGGTGAATTGTGACTGCTGTCTTTTGCTTGCTCGCTGGAGGAACTGTGACAATCACTATACACTGTAAAAACACAAATCACAACATATTTTCTTCTGTCAAATCAACTTTATAATAATTTATTTAGTTGAGATAACTTATTATTTTAACTTTCTGATGGTTAAAATAATCTCCTTCGTTGTATTAACTCACTTTTTTCCAGTTCAATCAACTTAAAATTTTAAGGCAACCCAGGTTACTTACTTTAAGTTAAAACAACAATATTTCTTTACAGTGTAGTAATCACAACATTTTTTCTTTTGTCAAATCAACTTAAATAATTTATTTAGTTCAGATAACATATAATTTGGAGTTTCTGGTGGTTAAATTAATCTCCTTCATTGTATTAACTCACTTTTTACAGTTCAATGAACTTAAAATTTTAAGGTAACCAGGTTACTTACTTTAAGTTAAACCATCAATATTTTTTTTTACAGTGTACAAATGAATTTAATTGAATCTGTCCTTGAGCATTGTCATGATTCTGGTATTTTCCTCTCTCTCTTTCTTCCCCTGCATACACACACACAGACTCATACACACATGCACACACTCACATGCGCTCTTTCATACTGAGCTGTTCCCTATGCAATCAGTACCTTCGTTTCCACGCCTGTCCTCTCTTTCTCTCTGATCAGCATCTCTACTTCTAGTTCCCTTCTCTCCTTTGTCCTTTGCCAGATTATTAACTTTGTACATGTTTGTGACCGTTCTCTATCTCCTAGTCTTGTCATGCCTAGTCTGGTCTTCATTACCTACTCGTCTAGTCTTAGTTTGAGTGTTTGTGCTAAACTTGTGCTCTGCCCAGCTCTCCTGCTACGGAACGCTGAGGTCGGTTCTGTGAGTACACCAGTCTACGGCCACTGCTGTTTGCCTACACTGTTCTCATCTACGAATTCATTGCCAGCTTATGTTTATTATTATTGAGAGACTTTCTGTTTGCCAGCCTATGCGGCCAATTGCCTAATTTCTATTAAAGGCATTATTACCAGCTTTCGCTTTTGGGCCCTCTCTCTCAGCCTTGACAAGGATACCTTTGATAAGAAATGCATACAGTGAAAGATGATGGACAATCCTAAGTAAAAACGTTTTGTGTTTATTTAATAGTTATATCTGTTGAAGAAGAAGAAACTTCTATCTGATATTAAACCAAGAAAACTTCCATACTTCCTGGAATCACTCAATATCTCATTCACAAGCTTGGGCAGTATGTGCTTTGAAACTGTGTTTTAGTGACAACAGCATTTTTAACTGTTCATGTTTCTTCTTTTAAAATAAAGCTAAAATGCTGATTAGAAAAAAACAAATCTGCAGCGGTCTCTTTCTAACCGAATCACGGAGACTCACGTCACTAGTAGCCTAGATTTGTTGTTTAACTACTGCGCTGTGTTACCGGTGGACATTTTCTTCTAGGGCAGCGAAACAAATGCATTCTGGGAGTTGTTGTCTTTCATCCACATAATCCAAAATTACATTTTCTGGCTTTTCTCAGTCTAGAAAGCTCCAAATTCAAAAAAAATTTCACATTTCATCTACATAAATTACCTATTTAAATAAACATTCATCTTTTCAGTGACACTTTTGTACTTTTACTCAGGTGATGTTTGAATGGAGGACTTTTTTATTTAGGTATATACTTTTACTCAAGTATAACTTTTGAGTAATTTTACCACTTTCCAGTATTACACGTTTGATATTTAAAATTCCATTCTCATTCCCAAAGGTAATAAAATTATTATGAGTTTTAGGGTACAAAAAGGAGGGTGTGTCTTCCAGGCAAATGGCACTCTGTTCTCAAAGGTGTATACTCAATGTAAATTCCCATTGGTAGCAAATGTTTCCATGTAAATCAACTTCTTCCTTAAGTAAGTCTGGGATTGTGATTAAAGTAAATCCCCAAATGTTTGCATGTGAAAAGAGGTTTCTGCTGATTTTGTAACCCAGACCAGCCTGTGATGCGAAAGTGCAAGCAAAACACTTGGCATCATGTATTTTATAATGGCAAGGTATTGTATCTTGACTCTTTATTCCAGAGCATTTGATGTTTTGTATCTATTATCTTTGAACTGATTATGAAATTGTCATGATACATTTTCCTGACATAATAATTACCTGACATTAAAGTAAACCTTTGATATTATTCTAATTGACTTTGACATTATTTTCAGTGAAGATTTAAAAAGAATAATCAAACATTCGCTCACATTTAATGATGCACAGATTTCATTAAAACCTTTTCATTTATGGAGTAATGAGGTAAACAAAGTAATTACTTTGCCACGAGAAACAATCAAAGTTTAATTCTGTATTAAAAGTATTACATTACCACCACTGTGAAACAATGCAATGTTACAAAAATGATTTTTAAAAACGTCATGCCTAACCAAAGAAACAGAGCTAAACTGTCTTGCAGAAACACAGAGATGTCAAAAATCAACATGTCTCTCAACAATGGAGGCTACATTTTTATTTTTCTTATTCATACTGCAGTGCATGCTGGGGGTTTCATATTAACCTGGAACCCAGCATTCATTGTGACATGAAACCTTTGATTGTCACCATTGTTGAGATTCATATGCTGACTGTTGATGTCTGTGTATAAGTCAAGGAGGAATTTAAAATGTTTTAAGACCAACAAGTCCTCCAACTCGTATGAATATTTAGTTTGTGACTACTTTCAAATACGACACATAAGAGTGTTCCCTAAATTGGTGCCCCTACCGGCAGCTGGAGATATGGAGAAATGCAACATAAAATTTTGCCTCAATCCATTTTTTTTAATCTACCGTGCTACCAGTTTAAGTCAAACTCTCCCAGCTATTCGAAGTGGTACATTGCTATAAAAAGATGTGGATTTTTGATGATTTCAACACATGTGCAGGTAGGGTTTTCCCACCTCGTATAGTCCTGTGTTTAAAAATGAAATTATGTTGTGTTTCAAAACAGTATTTGTATTTAAAGCTGTGTGATGTTCAAATCATTTTTAATTTAGAAATTCAAAACATTCTTGCTGTGATGTAGCCTACTATTCAGCCCACTAGGGGGACTCAATGAGTAGGGAAGGATATAGTTCTACAGACAAGAGAGTAATGTGGGTCTCTTATGTAAACAAGCTGAATACAGCTGTCCCATGCAGCTCTACAATACAAGACATTAATTTCTTTCTAAAAAAAGAAACGAAAGAAAAATAGCCTGACCACAACCCTTATAGGCTACCCTAGTGTATATTGTTACAAAAGATTTCTATTTTAATGAATCCTGGAAAAAAAAAATAAAAAAAAAAATATATATATATATATATATATATATATATATATAATATATATAATATATATATATATAATATATATAAATATATATATATATATATATATATATATATATATAATATAAAAATAATATATATAAAAAAATATTCCAATATTCAAAAATTCATTTTCCACCATTGATATTAACTTAGGATATCAGAATGATTATTGGATGTTGATGTATTTGAGCTTGTGAAACACGTACATTCTGCATTTTATGCCTGTAGATGTATGATTATTATTACTGCTGTTTGTGTATTATTATAATATTATTATTTTCATTGTTGTTGCCGTCATACTTTTTACTGTGAGTGAGTTTTATGCCAATTTCCAATTTGCTTTTCTGTGTGTGTAGTACCATCAACGAAACAACAGACACGAAGTGGTTAATTTTCCTAAAAGGAGGAAAGGATTAACAGAAGTGTGGTATGTCAAGAATTTCGTTCTTATGAGATTAAAAGTTCATTTCCTACCACTGGAGGTCGCAACACTGAGAGACATATGTATTATTGATAACGTGTGTGTGTGGGAGAGCCTTTTGAAGTTCGTAAAACATTCAAATTAGTAAAGGGCGCAAAGATCGAAACAGAGATGATGACGTGCGTCAGAGAGAGGACGCGAGCGCGCGCATCGCTCTAGTGCGCAGGTGGATCTCAGCGCACAATAGCGCGCCTGTCTCGCGCCACAGGTAGTAGCTGCTGGATTCAGGTGTTGTAACTCGACACTGAACCATGTGATCAGCGATGAGAATTTAGAAAGAAGACATACCCAGCTCGAGCATTCACTCAACACTCTAGTAAATACAAGACCACCATTGAAAGCAGGACAGGACCCCGAAGGACAATGTTTTATTATGAGCAGGACGCCGGAGTGACGAGCTAGTTTCGGTTTAAATCCTTAATTTGGCCGGTAAGGTGAGAGGCGGAAGAGACCTGCGGACATATAGTCCAAAACATACATTCACAAAAACTCGCCAGGAAACTTCGTGGATTATGAATGTGGACACACAGGTATGAGTATGTTTCTGTTTGTGTCGTATCGAATGTATGAATGTTTCCTTAGCAACACAGATAAGGTGGAAGGAATTTTTATGTCGTGAACTGGATAAAGATTACATGAACCGAAATGAAAAATAAGTAGCAGCTACCTGCCAAGTATTAAACACATTCAATACATCTGGACACTCTTAAATATCTGCTAACACTTTACAATAAGATCTCATTTGTTAATATGAAGAGTTCAGATGCAAAAGCCTCTAAGTGCCATTTGAAATTTTCTTCTAAAATGATCATTTTTATCAAGCTTGTATATTTAAGTTCAGTAATTTCACTTAAATGGCAATGAAGATTACCTATTAATTGTCATTTAAGTGAAATTACTGAACTTAAATGTACAAGCTTGATAAAAATTGTCATTTTTGAAGAAAATTTCAAATGGCATTTAGAGGCTTTTGCATCTGAACTCTTCATATATTAACCAACATAACCATGAGCAATACATCTGCTACTAATTTGTTAATCTTTGTTAACAATAGTACAAAAATACAGCTGGTTATTGTTTGTTCATGTTTCTTTTCAGTGCATTAGCTAACAAATATAACATTTGATTGTAATAATGTATTAGTAAATGTTTATATATTTATTTCCAGAACAGAATTTACACATGGTAACCTTGTTTAAAATCCAAGTTTGCACAGATAAAAAAAAATAAGGCAGACTGGAATGAATCAGTGCATTTGGGTATTTCTTAATTTAGGAGATCATAGCCAAAAAGATTAGTGAGCTAATTTCTTCTAAGTCACTTATAAAACAAATCCTTTCTAAGGTTCATTATTTGCTATGAACAAACTCACTGTTTTAAACAATAGGAATGATCAAATCTGCTAACCAACTTCAGATCCTAACAGACGTTTCTACTCTTCTTTTGCAGCTCGCTAGATTTTTTTATTCTTTGATCTCGGACATGATTTATTGATCACCTCCGCCCCTAGCCGGAGCGTCAGCCCCTTCTGGTCGGGGGTAGGGGTGCAGATTGACTCCATCCTGGAGATGATCCGGCAGGTTGGGCTTTTGGCTGGGAGTTTTATGCTGCTGCTTCTCAGGAATGTTTCGGCCCAGGGTGAGTCACTCGCTCCACCTCTGTCCGAAACTGAACTTTGAGAGTATCCGGATTATTAATCACTGTTAAAGCTCACTGCGTTTAAACAGCTCAATTGAGTTGCGTCAGATTAATCTGTACACAAGCCGAGTAGCACTCCTCTAACTTGTACTAAGTTAGCACTAGTTTGCCTGAAGTGCCGCAGAAACAAGCTCAAGCATGTCAGTTTTCAGCAGAAGCATCGAAGGTATTGTTGGGAGGTCAGGCCATAAAATTGTACTCGCAATTAAGATATAAAAAAAAAAGGCATGAGAACTGTGTAACCATAAACTATGAACCCGCCCAGATCACATTTTACCCCCATCACAATAAATTATATTTTCCATATAGATGACATATGATTATTATTTTCTGTATTTGGGACATTATTTTTTTAGATGTGTAGGTACATTTCCCACACAAACTGTCCTTATGCACTGTAATACAACATATCTAAGTCTCATTACATTATTGTGAAAATCTTTTATATTATTTAAATGCATTATTGTAGTATTTGTTGTATACTTTGATGCTGATTTAAGAATTTGGTACAGAATTGTGCATAATTGTCAACAATGTTACAATGCTTCAAAATAGACTACATATAATTTATTTTCATTCTCATTTTGGGGAACTTTTTTTGGGGAGATTCATACAGTTGTTATCATAAGTATTCAACCCCCCTTTGCAAATCAGGTTTATTGGCAAAGTGTAGACTTTTAGCTGTTTGCAATGAACAAATCAAACAAAAGTAATTGAAATAGCTCAATACAACAAATGTTTCGAGTGGTTTCCCCAAATTCACCTGAAAATGCAACTTTTAATGACTTCCGCAGTCTCAAAATGATTCAACCCCCTGAACAGACTCCCTCAAAACAGCACAAATCTGCAAAACAGGTGTTATCTCAAGCACAGCTGATGCAACTAATCAAGGGCTTCATTAGTTGCACAAGGTGTGCTTGAGCTAGGAATTGGGATGTGCATTTTTTTTGCTCATCTCAGTTTCCTTGCTATTTACTAGGGGTGTGCAAAAAAATCGATTCACATTTGAATCGCGATTCAATCTTTACCGATTCAGAATCGATTCATAGAATTCCAAAAATCGATTCATAGGCTATATTTTTTAATGGCGTGCAGGGGCGGAGTGGCAATCGGGTAAGTCGGGACTTTTACCGGTGGTCCGGTAGTGTTTCTATGGTTTCGAGGCTGCGAGGGCCGGTCTGATAAATAGTTATTGCAAGTTCTTGCCGCCCGCTGGTCAAACTGTGCAGCCACTCTGCTCAACCCGTAAATGCATCGATCCGCAGTTCTTATGTTTGAGTTCTGTAAATCTTTTGCCAAGCGTGTCAGAGGTTACGGGTTCTAAACCGCACTCGTATAGTTTTTTCTCTCTCTCATCAAAACCGAATATGTTCATCACGTTTGTGTGCATTTTATTTTGTGATTTCACCGGAGTCTCCACAACGGCGATAGATTGAAGCGCGCGTCCGAGAGAAGACTGCGCGAGCCACAGAGAACACTGTATCCATGACACTGATCGCAGCGGACACGAGCGCTCAGCTTGATTTCAAAAACAACAGGTCTCTTATTTAATAGCGAACTAAATGAATGCTCTGCTAGTAAACTAGATACCCGCAAATTACAGCGCCTATGAACGACTTCACTGGATCTAAACAAATCAATCTAACCATAGATGTTACCAGTAGCGGTGGCTTTTTTAAATCTATTTAAAATATTTTCGCAAGGGTTCTATGAAATTAGTAGCCTATATATTTTTAGGGAGTTCAATGTGCCCAGTCGAGTTCATTTCAACAGTCAACCTGGTAGCTGAAGTAGGCCTACTCCTTAAACCACATTTAGCATAATTGTTTGTTTGATCTGACTACAGCACTTTAAAGCTAAATGTAAAAGCTTTTTATTTAAGTTTTATTTTAAACTTGAATTAAATGTATTTAAAAGCTGGCCAAAGCTTGGCACTTCACACATTTTAGTTGCAAAAGTTTTTATTTTTGTATGAAGACATATAAAGTAATATCAAACTTTTCTTTTAAATTATGTCTACTGCAATCAATCACATAGGAAAAAGTAAACTACATTTATGTAGACCTGCGAATCGTTTTTTGAATCGAGAATCGTTTTTGAATCGAAAATCGATTTTGAATCGAATCTCGAGACAAAAAAATCGGTATCGAATCGAATCGTGACATTTTCTGAATCGTGCACCCCTACTATTTACTATTTTGCTTTTTACCCTTTCTTGAACATGTACGGGCCATTACATCATTTCTTTATTGCTACATAAGCACATTTTTTCAAAACAAACTCAACTAAGTAAAACTAATTAAAGGGGTCATGAACTGGCTTTTTAAATTCTTTTATATTGTTGTCTGAGGTCAACTTATGACGTTCGCTTGGTTTTTACATTCAAAAACATCAAAATGCATAAGTAATAGGCTACTTTCTACCCTAGCTTTGAGCCTAGCTTTATGGGCGTCTCGCACTGAAGACTTGGAAGTAAACGCCCAATGCTGTGAGTGGATTACAGTTTTGCATATTATAATGAGTTTCAACTCACTCGCTTATGCAGCGACTGCACAATATTTCGTAAACGGCATTTTTATTGCACGGTAGCTCGATCCGGTTTGTCATCACGAGGTAGGCCTATGGTATTTAGCAATGCGTGTAATGCACGAATCGGTGGGCGGGGCTAACAAGGACGTTTTCAGTTCTGAAACTTACAGGATATTCTTATAATATGATGACCTCTTAGATGTCAAAAGCTCAAGGAAAATTTGATTTCTCAGTTCATCACCCCTTTAATGAATTAAAAGTTTCCATCTTCCTAAAACACTTTTTCTTTGCCACAAAACTTTTAATCAACAAATACCCCACTACATACTTAAACTGCATTCACGCGCTTCATGATTAGTCCTGCAACAAGTTCCTTTCCTTCTTTTAAGTTATCTTTGTCCTTGAGGGATTATTTACTCTTGTAAATGATTAACATTTTAGCTTTTTCATATGTATTCTCCTACTCTCTCTCTTTCTCTTCTTCTCTCTTTCTTCTATGTATTTGTGTTTTTGTGCCTTCATAGCATTTAAATATTATTTTAGGGGCCGCTTACACAACATCATTTTCAGCTTTTTGGTTGTTCATTTACACGACAACAAAGTTTTGTGAGCTTGAAAATGCAAACTTTTGAAAACAGGTTTCAAAGTGCAAGTTTTTGAAAAAGATACTGTTATCGTCTCAAATGCAGATTTGTGAAAATGGTGATGTCATATTACTATAGCGTAGTGTTTCTTTACAAAGTGGCATCTCCATCTACAGGCCTGGCATGAATAATACAAGTTTTTATAATAGTAGTATAGAATAGAATAATAGTTTAGTCGTTTTTGCAGATCTGTGTGAACGGGGATCGTTTTGACACCGCTGTCATCTATAAGCGAAAAACATAAAGGAAGAACTTTTTCATTTTTAGTATTGTTGTTGTGTAAACATGCCCTAAATCGCCACTCTGCAAGTGTAACATTTATTTTCAGTCAAGTCAATAGTTTTTGTATCATTACTTGTTCTCTGACCTTCAAAAGCACACTATGGTTTGTCAAAGTGCAACAATCACAAATGTGAGATTTTACAAAGTTGCCAAACTTTAAAATTATTTGAAGTTTTTGTTATGTGAGGGATTTGTTATTGCTTAGAGAATTGAGGTGAATTATGGGGCACCAATGCACCAGTTGATACTTTGCTGGTCTTTCTTTAATTTTAAACAAGGAGACAACTATGATAAAGTATGAGGTAATATATACAAATTCTGAGGCTGTGATAGAGCTTACCATTATAGGGATTGATAATGGCAAAAAAAAAGTGTCTTATGTACAACAATATAAAAGTGCATATTTATAAACTGCAGTGTTTAGTGGCATAAATTTTATACTGAACGTTCACCAATGAAAAAAGACATACAGACTTTTCTAAACATTACTGAGTTCATGATGGAAAAAATAATAACTGAATTTGAATTATAATTCACACAAATCAATTTAACTTACTAACAGCAACTACCATTGTATGGATCACCATATTAGACAGTACTTAAAAAAACTAATTGCCAAATAACAAATATACATGTTGAAAATTCTAAATGTTATGGTGACATTTTTGCCCCAAGTCCTCGTTCATTTCTGACCCTGTTGTGTGTGTGCATTGCGTAATGGCGGGGGACGGGGCTTTTTTTCGAGCTCAAGCCAAGGTCCCTTTCTGTTGCGAGCCCTGTTTCAAGTGAATCAGCACCTCTCAACTTTAGCTATATATTTTTTATTTCAAATTTTTAATTTTGTGTTTAGGTCCAGATGTCCAGCTCTCTGTGCTAAATGATGGGTGCTGTGTTTCATAATGTTGCTATAAATCATTTAAATTGTGAGATTACGCCATCACAGAGCGCACGTATCACAGTTCACACCATTTGACATGAAAAAAAAAACACTCTCAAGTGTTCCTCTTTTATTAATGTTTAGTTCTCATCCTCATATCTTTGCTTTTTCCTAATTGTTAACAAATTAGTGTTAGTGGCGAGCACTGTGACTGTGAAATGATCCTGAAACACACCTCAGATCAAATACTGTATATATATATAAACGCAAAGAAAACACTTTGAGCTGCAACACTGTCACTGAGAAACCATTTTGTGATTTGTGAGCCACCCTTAGCTAGGATGAGTGCTAAAGTCACACCGGAGTCTGCAGACCGAAATTCATAATATGTACAATTAAATGTCATCTCATTGTAATGTTTTCTATTTGCAGCGGAAAACAGCACAATGCCCAGTACAACGCCCAGTACAACTCCCAGTCCAGTAAGTAGAAATTCTTTGAGGTGTTTCTTAACTGTCAAAATAATTTCTCTTATAGTATCTGACTAACTTGGAGAATGTCCTCATCATTTGCTCAATGAGAATCAGAATTGCCCAAAATTCAGAATTGGCTCCCTTTGTATGGAGCCTCGCACATGAAATGCAGGAAAAAAATGTATATCGTGGCCACAAATTAACTAATTGTTCCCACGATTTATGAATATGTCAGCATATTTCGCTTCCTTGTTTTAAATAAATTGTGCGTACGATATTATAATCTGTTACATTTTTAATTGTAGTTAATCAAAATGAGGGAGAAAATAAGTACAACGTGGCCACGATTTACTAAATCGAGGGAAAAAATTATTTTATAGTGCGCACAATTTTGTAAAATGAAAAAAAAAAATGAATTTTTAATTTTGTGACCACAAATATATTTTTGTCTGCATGTCATGTGTACACAGAGTTTTCTACTAATACAAAGCTTAATGCTAAATCCTGAAGTATCCCTTAATTATGTTACCGAATATTTCATATGACTAAATATTCTGTGGGCCATAAAAGCTTTTTGAAAATTTAAATCTGGTCATCATATTGCATTATGAGGGTGCATGTAAACGTAGTTAATGCCACAATATCTTAATAAGTCAGTGCTTAATGCAGTCCTGTAGTACTTCTTCCGTTCAGATGATTAACATTCCTACTTTTCTTTGTCCAGGGCCCTAATATCGTGGCCATTGTTGTACCAACTGTGGTCCTGGGACTGGTGGCTATTTTAACAGCGATTCTGGTGTTCCTGTTCTGTGTGGTTAAGAAGAAGAGACAGACGGAGGGGACGTATCGCCCCAGCTCAGAGGAGCAAACAGGAACCCGTAGCGTAGAGACGCCAGACGCCCTCAAACTACCCAAGGAGGAGAGACTGATTTGACACACCGGTTTATAACTAACCAGCTGCACATGATGATGGTGAATCAATTCCAAACTGGTTAAATGGATAAACATTAACTAGGCACTGTTTCTGAGCACTGGCCATATGTTTTGGCTAAACAAAGCGAGTCTGACTACTTGGAAGAAACTTGAAGGAAAGCTACTCTCTCCAAAAGGAAAAACATTTCACAGTATAGATCTGCTTGTGCTGTTCTCTAGCATTGATATTCTTAGTTTAGACTGGTCATTTCATTTTGTGTTTTAATTGTTCCTTTACACATTCAAATGCAGATTTTTGTATGTAATGTTAAGATATGTTTAAAGGTGAAGTTTGCAATTTTTCCACTCTTAGTGGCACAAAACAAAAGTGCAATCTGTTTGTTTTTGCATCCAGAAAAGGGCCAGACCCTTTAAGTCCCTTTAAGGCTAGTCATGTCACTCGGCGGCCATCTTTGAAAGTTCTCTTGGGCAACTATTTCATGCAATATCATTGAATGGGGAAAAATCAAACTCTCCAAAAGCTGTTCAACAAGCTTACGATTAATATTCATATAACATTTTTCAAATTACCAATGAAATCTGATCTTATAAATTGTTTAGAAACACTCAAATCATGAAAAAAAAATATAAAAAAAAACCTGGCTGACCTGCCAATGCACATGAGTAGTCATAAACGCACCACTTGGTAAAGAAACACTGACTGTTTTTTTACCAATTGGCTCATTTATTAGGAAGGCGGGACTTACTCCGCCATATTGTGCGTTTCACTCTCTCCTATTCATAGAAATATAAGTGGACCGTCTTTATAAATCTAAAGTCTTTGGTTAACTTAACAGTATCAGCTCAACCAATGGTGTGAGTTTGGAGGCAGGACTTCTGTGAGACTGAATAATAGAAGCTGGGGGTGTGCGCCTGTTTCCTGACACTAGATTTTGCACACTACACCTTTAAATATATACTGAGATCCATTTGCCCACAAATTGGATATTTTTACTTTCATATCTGGTTGGTTAAAACCCCTTTGATCATTTCAGAAATTATTTCATTTGTCTTGATTTACCTCAGTTACATTTCTATAGCTATATTATAGTTATACTCTATTTTAACTAATACTAAGTGTCCAGAAATTTGATCAGCGCAACAATGAATTCTGCTTGGAATCGTTTTTGATTCTTTTTATGACAGCATGAATGTTTACACTCAAATATTTCATGTGTTCTATTTAACTTGAATGCCTTTTCAAATTTCAGATTTTTAGAATTTGCTAAGTTGTGCAGTTTATATTTAAGCAAAAAGGCATACGAGGTTATACTATAATCATGGCTAAGGGTGTTGTAAGGCACAACGCTCAGCAGAGTTTCTATATTTACAATTCAAAATGTCCTTGGGTGGCTTTGCTGTTGCTCCACATTAAAATATTGAGGACACTTCACACATTTTCAATAAAACATGTTGATTGAGCTTATTCATTTAAGTGTTATTCTTGTGCTGAATATGTAGTCCTGATGACCTGATTCTTTATGGGAGTTGGGCCATGATATAATGTTGTGGCTGTTTCCGCGCAATGCTGTATTGCCGCATCAGAAGACAGAACCGGAATTATATGTTTTATCAACAGCCAATTTTAACTTGAATGTGCAAGGTTTCCAGTGTCAGCCTGTTTGAGCTGTACATAGTCCATTACACTGCAAACTGGTGTTTGTGATCATCATAATATTTTAATTGGTTCTCGTTATCATAAACATTGGTTGGTGCAGTGTACACAGTTTTACTGTTTGCCTGTTTATTCCTCCTGATAATTACCTATAGTCAGTGGTGTAGTCTACGTGATACGCAGGTATACGCCGTATACCCAGTAGAAAATGTCAAGGATTTGCGTATGCCCACTAGGAAATGTCAAAGATCTCCGTATGCCCACTTTAAAAAGCGTGAGGATTCGTAACAACATCGTTTTGTGAAATAAATTTCCTACGACATCAGCCCCCCTAAACGTAAGGCGACAGAATTTCGTGTTCCCTAATCTTATTAGATTCAGCGCGCGAGCACGTCAAAAACAGAGGACGCAGGGTGTGTTTGTGTGTTCGTGTTCATCTGAGCCTCATTGGTCTGTCACTGCTCGTCAATGTCAGAATATTTGAGATGACAAATCAAATCAAAGTAGGCGGGCTTTATTTCAAAGACGCTGCTGAGCGCGAATTTCAGCAGAGTGACTCGACGCTTCAGTTTACAGGCAAGTGCGAGAAAAGATGTAACGTTAAGTGGCTAAACTTAACATTTCATATTTTACATTTTTTAGGTCATGAATGTTAAACGAATGACAAAAAAATAATCAGGCAAACTATAGTTTTGTGTAATTTCGCCATTTAGAAGTGAAATAAATAGGCCTGTAACGTGACTCATGCAATTTAATAGTTTACTGTCATTGCGAGGGGACAAGAAACATTAACAAAGCCGTTTTCATCATTTTAGCCACAAGACTAATAACGAATGTGTACATATTGAGAATATAATAAAAATTGTAGCCTTTATTACATTAAAAAAGCTCAGCCTTCGGAGGGGGAGAGAATTTACTGCCCACTGACATGGTTTTAAAGCTATTTCTTATTCTTTTTTTCTTCAAACGTCTTGAAATGCACATCAAAGAAATAAAAAAATTGAAGCACCAACCTCAAATTTAGGACCTCTTTGATTATAAAGCCCTGTCTACGGCCCTGTATTAGTCATAAGATCAATAATGAATGTGTAGCCTATATGTTTTGAATGTATTTAATAAACTTAATTACCTAACTTTAGTAGCTTTCAGTGAATAAACGTGTCCGAGAAAAATTATTCATAGGGAAAATCCACTCATCAGTTGACCCCATGTTTACTTTCTTTACTGACAGACAAAAATGAAAAGCCTACATCAGTCACAGCTCATCTTTAGGAGGGGAAAGAGACAGGGCAAGATAAAAACAAAGAGAAAAAGAGGGTGATGCTGATGAGGAGAGAGAAATAATCAGCTGCCCAGTGCCCACTGGTTTTAAAGCTGTTATCTAATTTTTTTGGCCTTCAAAACATCCTAAAATGCACGTAGATCAGAGAAATAAAAATTTTCTCAGGGAAACCCTGAACTCCCCTAACTAACCTACCTCACATTTGGGACAACAGTGATTATAAAACCCTGCCTTTTGCATGTAATGAAACCGGTTAATAGTGAGCATTAGATCCTAAACTAAACCTAGTGACGCCCCTGCTTCATGCAACCTGTCAAAGTTTAAAAGAAATATGTTACTACTGCACAGCAGAGTACTTCAAGTAGGCCTAATAATATTAATAATAGTTTATTAAAACACACAGAAGCTCAAATGTCTTTAATTTACAACAGTTTATAGAGATAAATAAAGTAACTCGATGGAATAATGAAAGAAATTGCATAGTAAAATGTAATTTATAAAATAATAATAATCAAATCTATTAAGACAGAACATTAAAGGAATATCACACAAGTTTTAAAAATTTTTTGCAAATGGGTGGTGGGGGGGGGGGGCGCTGCTGGTATATCACAGTATACTCACTACAAAAAACTAGACTACACCACTGCCTATAGTGGCTAATAAATCATAAGCATCAGATTCAAATTCACAGGAAATAACTTACCCCCTTGCGGATATGTTATATGGCACAACATCAACAATATGCTTTACATTGACAAAGGCCTGCCCATACTTTGACTACAAACTTGGTCCTCAAATCATTACGTATTTGCAATAGCTGCTACATGTAATGGAAATGTATAACGTTGCACCATTTCTATAAGTTATAAATAGCTAGTAAGATAATATAACGATAACGTAACTTATGTAATATAATTCAAGTAATTATTCTAGTGATGTAGGCTACGCCTAATGCTAGATAAGGTTTGCTAGTAGGCCTACATTTGTAACGAGTTCAGTTGTTTTTGGAAACAGAAGCCGCGAACCGGCAAACGTTCAACAAGTTTAATAAACAAATACAAAATTAAAGTATAAGCCAGCAGCCCCTAACGGACAACACACAAAACAGAACATAAAAATCACAACATAAAATCAGACCTGTTCCTCTCTCCGCTGTCGTCGCGCCTCCTTTGCTTTCGCTCCTCCGTGAGAGATGCGTGACCCCGACGTGACAGACCGGTGCGTCTCACAGGTGTCGTTCATTATCACTCACGCCACCGGCCTTGCGCCACTCTCATGTTCCTGTCCCTCGGCCACAATATATCGCCACAATATTATTTCAGCAACATGACAAGCCAGTGAATTAACAGGTTTCAATTGTTCCTTTGTTCCACAGTGCGTGACATTTTATCTACATGTAATGCGGCTAAAGCTTTGACACTGAGTCAATGGGCTCTGTCTACTTCTTTCTTTTTCGCTTGTTTATCGTCATCATTTTCTTCCTTTTACGCTTCTTTGTTTTATGAGCAGGTTCCACTCGAGAAATTGGCAGTTTAGGTTGTTTCTCCGCCATTAGCACAGCAATCACCGAGTTTAGTTTGAATGAAGGCGCGCTGTGTGTAAGAGGCGAGCGCTCTCTTGTGATCCACGTGTACACAAGCATGATTGACACTGCTAAGACACTCCTCCTGGCTGGTTCTGAGTGGTTGTTTCTGACGGGAGCGGTGTATTTCTGCAAATGGCAATGGGCTCTATGCACGGCGTTATTTCCGGTGAAGCATTAGGGATGCTCGATAACTTCCGCCGATCATAGAGTCCAATGCAATGCCGAGAATTTATATTGAATTTTATACTCCATGGTTATACTAATGAAACGTTAGTCACAAAAACAGATAAAACAGACACCCCTCGTTGTGTTTATGCTTCTTTTTAAAATTATATTAAATAAACATAACTATATATAAAATTACATCTAAACGTATGTACGTTTCGTTTCAAAGACGGGAGGACAGTAAATATTGAAGACTCTGCCATAATCCCGTTTTCTCCGGTTTTCCTCCGCTTTAATCTACACAACCGGAAATGGACGAGCATCCTTACGTTATATGCGGAACTTATGCGTGCATATAGCCCATTGACCATTTCACAAGATGAAAACAACACTGGTCCAGAAGCACTTCCTGTTTCAGTTTTTTAACACTACATAAAAGCTGGGATAAAATACAACCAACAGAGCATTTAAAACTGAATCAAAAAGTTAAACAAACATCTTTAAGATGTTTTCTTTACATGTGAAATAAAGAAAACAGTTACAAACTGAAACAGGAAGTGCTTCTGGACCAGTGTTGTTTACATCTTGTGAAATGGTCTATATGACCACTGGGAAGGAGCTTGATTTATTTCGCAGATCATCTATCTCATAGTCTACTGTCAGGACATAATGACAGTTTTAACAAATATGTAAAAAAAATATATTTGTTTACAAATTACCTATACTGCAGCTTTAATTCCAATTAATTCATAATAAATAAATAAATAAATAAATAAGGTGGATAGGATAACAAGATGTACTTAAAGATATAGTAAAGGTCTCTGAATTAATAGCTGGAAAGGTGTAGCTACTTTGAGGTTTTATAACATTACATAATGTCATATGATTGCTGACACATGTACAATAATATCTGTGTGTGCATGGAGGAGTGTCTGTCTAGGAAACGTATTGCAATTAGACAGCAATGCTTCAGATTTGCTTGCCAAGAACAAAGCAAGATTTATTATGTGGACTAGATGTAAGAAAGACCTGTTCAGTAGGTTGTTTTCAGGAACACTGCTCTCTAGTGGTTGCTAAGATTTTCAGTCTTTTGCTTTTGATTTCATTTGCTCTAGTAAAATGGCAAAAAAAAAAAAAAATCATATATATATATTTGAATGATAATATAGGGAAACTCTCAGTGGTCCTCAACCTTTTAAACTTCAAGGCTGTACACTTTTAAAGTCACAATATGCAGGAATTCTGTTTTTGTCAAACAGTGACCCCTAGAGTTGCTGTGGAGTACTGTTAACGTTACTGTCGTGAAATACCATTCACGCAAAGCATCTCTGCACTCACGGCCTGATAACCATTCGAAGCTGTTGTATTAAAGGAGAACTCCGGTGCAAAATGAACCTTTGGTCTAATTACACATTGTTACCTAGTCAACCATTATCTGAGATTTGTTTTCATGATTGCCGAATGTAAATAGTTTTATCTCTAAAAACAGTTTAGCCTATAACGCTAGTATAATGCTAGTATATAGGGCATAGAGTAATGGCAAATAAAAATCGCTTGTTATTACCACTAAAAAGGCTCAAAATAGCCCCACACTAACACGGTAGCATAATAAGTGTCCCTACATTCAAACCGAAGCATTGATAACTTTGTCAGTGTCCATACAGTTTAATAAGAAGATGTTTTATACACACAGTCAACTTCGCGAATACAGGAAGAAGCCATCTTTGAAAAATAGTCTCTACCAGTCGATCTACGAACGCCGATCCAAGTGCGCTGACCATGGGAACCATAAAAATGACAGTTGTTGAAGGAACAAATTAAAACAAAAAAAACATGATTTTTAGCTGTTTAAATCTGATTTTAAAGCTTATTTTGTTTTATTTTTAATCCAGGCCCCCTAGTTGAGGACCACTGATGTAAACTAGACATTCATGTAATGTAAACCTCTGTGACGTTAGAAATAAACAACAACAACAACAAAAGCAGTTCAGATTCAGAATTTGCCTTTATTCAGATCGACATGGACAATATTTTCATCGTTATGGAATCTGAAGGCTTCACAATAAAAATCGCTTGCGTTGTTGGATTCACAAACACTCAGAAACACAAAACCAAACTACACAATTCCTCAATGTCACCGGTAGGGCTGTAGTTCATGGATAGTGAATGTAAAAACCCATTCATAGTTATGGAGAGCATCGGTTTGTGGTGATAAGGATGAAATGATGGTGATGGAGTAGAACACTATTTCGTCTGGTGGTTGCGATTTAGGCAATCTCCTCCTCGCCCTCCTCGAACTCGCCCTCTTCGGCGGTGGCGTCCTGGTACTGCTGGTACTCAGACACCAGGTCGTTCATGTTGCTCTCTGCCTCGGTGAACTCCATCTCGTCCATGCCCTCGCCGGTGTACCAGTGCAAGAAAGCTTTGCGGCGGAACATAGCGGTGAACTGCTCAGAAATGCGTTTGAAGAGCTCCTGGATGGCCGTGCTGTTGCCGATGAAAGTGGCTGCCATTTTGAGCCCGCGTGGTGGGATGTCGCAAACAGCGGTCTTGACATTATTGGGAATCCACTCGACGAAGTAGCTGCTGTTCTTGTTTTGGACGTTCAGCATCTGCTCGTCCACCTCCTTCATGGACATGCGTCCGCGGAAGACGGCGGCCACGGTCAGGTAGCGGCCGTGACGCGGGTCACAGGCGGCCATCATGTTCTTGGCGTCGAACATCTGCTGTGTGAGCTCGGGAACTGAGAGAGAGCGGTACTGCTGGCTGCCTCGGCTGGTGAGTGGAGCGAAGCCTGGCATGAAGAAGTGGAGACGCGGGAAGGGCACCATGTTGACTGCCAGTTTGCGAAGGTCTGCGTTGAGCTGGCCGGGGAAGCGGAGGCAGGTTGTCACGCCGCTCATGGTGGCGGAGACGAGATGGTTGAGGTCACCGTAAGTTGGTGTGGTGAGCTTGAGCGTGCGGAAGCAGATGTCATAAAGAGCCTCGTTGTCGATGCAGTAGGTCTCGTCAGTGTTCTCCACCAGCTGGTGGACGGACAGCGTGGCGTTGTAGGGCTCCACCACGGTGTCGGACACCTTGGGTGAGGGCACCACGCTGAAGGTGTTCATGATGCGGTCGGGATACTCCTCGCGGATCTTGCTGATAAGGAGGGTTCCCATGCCGGAGCCGGTGCCTCCGCCGAGAGAGTGAGTGAGCTGGAAGCCTTGCAGGCAGTCGCAGCTTTCTGCTTCCTTACGGACAACATCCAGTACTGAGTCCACCAGCTCTGCTCCTTCTGTGTAGTGACCTTTGGCCCAGTTGTTTCCAGCACCACTCTGACCTACAATTATTAAAATACAAATTGAGCATTGACAAGTCAGTTTACTCTTTGGCCATATTTGCAATGCTTCCTGGGTAGAACCTGATTACCAAGTGCATCAATCATTGTTGATCCTGGAACCAATCAACCAACCAGGTTTAGGCTCATAGCCTGGGTTAGGTGCTTCAACATCAGTGTGATTCACATATCATTTTCCTCTGGTTTAAGGGATAACAAATGGGTATAGGATTAGGTTTAGGGATATGGCCGGGATAAAATTTTCAGACGGAATGTCTTGACCCAGGAATTCGTCTAACTCTGAAAAATCAGGACTCTTGGCAGCTATTTTGGGTATCCTAGACCGTGTCCTTTCTCCTTGAATGGGGGAATCGTGAAATCCCTTAACCTGCTGATGTCCATACTCATGCCCCATGCCAGGTTTCTAAGGGAACTGAAGCTTCTATGGCTCTCTATTGGTTCTTTTATTTAGAAGGCGGGGCTTATTCTGCCATATTCCACATTGCACTTCTACCATTCGTAGTAATACAAGTGCACTGTCCTTGTCCTGGTATATCTATAGTCTTTGGGGTGTTCATTCTGACACAAATTTTTCAGGCATTCATCAAGTCAAATCTGAACTCCTACTAGCATCTAAAAGAAAAACTTCATTTTTGTCGGTGTGGATTCATACCTACTAATTGCACTCATTACAATGTGAGTTCATACCCTACTTTTGTTATATCCATCATTGTGCTGGTATTTGATAAATGCTTACCAAACACAAAGTTGTCAGGTCTAAATATCTGACCAAAGGGTCCCGAACGAACCGAATCCATCGTGCCAGGCTCCAGGTCCACCAAGATGGCCCGGGGAACATACTTCCCACCTAAACAGAGAGACAGAAAGAGTAGGTCAGACGGACCAGACAATTGAAAACTTGGTCAACTGGTCTTTCTATCTTCCTTTTTCTGCAATGATTCAGGCATTCAGAATGATAGCAGAACTCAAGCTCAAGTGTAAAGCCTCATGATCATAGAGGCTTTCGCACCGGGTAGTTATAGGAACTCAGTTATAGGAACTAGCCACTAGGGTGGTTCCCTGAGAACACAATGCTCCCCTAGGGCATTTTTCCTGGTTGCATTCGCGCCGCCAGTAGGAAGTGACGTAAGCTGGCCGACAACGATGTCATAGCATGGTATTTAACAATGTCAACAACTGGAGAATAGAGGACGCCATGATCGGAGCTGTGTTTTTGTTGTGTGTCATGGGTTTTGTGATAACTAATATGGAACAGACATATAGATATGCGATTGAAAGAGCAAAAAGGAGGGGTGAGAGACAAAATTTCCTGTGACAACTTAAGAGTGCTGCATATCATTGAGGCTGAGGAAAGAACACCGCTGACAAAGAAGACAGGTACATGATGTTAACATTATCTTTATGTATGTTTATGCCTTATTGCTGTTTTCCATGTTCACGGAGTACGTATATGTAAACTGTGTGTAAAAATGGCGGGTGCTGTTGTTTCGCATGCATTTAGCCAATCAGCGTACACTTACGTCACTGGTAGTTCCTATTGTGCTGGGTTTGTCCCTACACTCTGAAGTAGGAGCTAAATTGGTTCTCACAAAAGGTGTTCGTATAACTAAAATCTTTCCCAGTTCCTGCGGTACATAGACACCAAATAGTTACAGAAACTATGGAAATGTTACACACTGTGATTTGAGAACAATCCAAAGAGCATCAGCTTGGTTTTTGTCATTCTTTAATGCAAAGGAGTTAAAAATAGTGAAAAATTGTCTCTTGTTTAATTTAATTTCATGCAAATTTAAAACTGAACACTTTATTTCCATGTTTACATAGTATTTTTTAAATATAACTGTATACTAAGGAACACTTATTTAATATTAATATTTTGAATTAGCCTGTATTTTTATATTTGGATTGATATTTCTACATTTTTAATGTATTATTTCAGGTTTTTTTCAGTTTTAGTTTAATTTTATTTCAGTAATTTTAGTCCTTCACCAGTTGACAAGCTACAGTATGCAGCATTTATTTACATTTTATTTAGTTTAAGGTTTTTTCATCAGATATTTATATTTTATTTTACTTCAGCGTTTCATTTAACAATTTGGTTTTACAAGATATTTAACGATAACAATAATATATTCAATGCTGTCTCAGGCTTTTGGATCTCACTTTATTGATGCTGTCATAAAAATATCAAAATATTTATTTAAATATTTCAGAAAGGTGCAGAATGTAATCTTTAAGATATTAACAAAAATAAAATAAATACCTGAGGCCTCATTGTAGTAAACACTGATCCTGTCTAGCTGCAGGTCACTGTCTCCATGATATGTTCCTGTTGGATCAATGCCATGCTCATCACTGATAACCTCCCAGAACTGAGAGAGAGAGAGAGAGAGAGAGAGAGAGAGAGAGAGAGAGAGAGAGAGAGAGAGAGAGAGAGAGAGAGAGAGATTGAAAACAGGGCGGAGGCCAGAGAGAGAGAGAGAGAGAGAGAGAGAGAGAGAGAGAGAGAGAGAGAGAGAGAGAGAGAGGGGAACAAACAACAGGGCGGAGGCCAGAGAGCGAGAGGCAGAGGAAGATAGAGAAACTGAGTAAAGCATCATATTTATCTGGTTATATAAAAACCAAGAATGCATATATATATATGCATATATATATATATATATGGGCAGGGGCGCAACTACCCAGTTTCAGAGGGGTATGCAGCAACAATTTTAGCGCCCCCCCCCCCCCAAAAAAAAAAAAAATAAATAAATAAATAAAATAAATGTAAGTGTGCAGTGTAATAAGTGAATAGGAAGAAATGAGAGCTAACAGAAAAAAATAAGTGCAAAATTGTCGTTTATTAACACAATTAAACTATAGCTACTCCACCTTGATGAACCCCCCCCCCCCAAGAAAACTATAAGCTCCATTGTAACAGCAATACCAGTGTTTCTCACAGGATTTTAGGTAAAACTGTGGTAGGTGGACCTCTGTTTCTCTAGGGGGGTTCGGGGGCATGCTCCCCCGTAAGAAAATTTTGTGTTCTGTAATGTTAAATTCAGCAGACTAGTGCACTTTGAGAGTTCAAAATTAAAAGCTCCAACCCATATTCAGGGTGCAAATTAAACAGAGAAAATTTTGATCCTCTTTTAGTTAGTGTCTGTCTAAATTACACTACTACAAAATAATAGTTATTATATTAATCCCATGATAGTAATTGCCATAAAGGCTATTGTAAAACAAATGCACAGAAAAATAAAGGAAACTTTCATAATTAGTTTTGCACTAATTTCTATACTTGAAAGATACTTGCGCATAATGACATATTTCATGGGCCAGTGTGTCAGAAAAAAAAAACTAAAGCTGTTTTTTTTTTGACTAATGCATTACACCAGCACAGCGCCGCCAATTAAGCAAAAAACAAAACAAAAACAAACAACAAACAAACAAATGGGCCGCCGATGTATGAGTTTTGTGGGCCGTTAAGACAAATAAATTAAAAAAAGGATGAAATGTATAGTCTGAAAAGCACGTCGGCCCAGCGGGAATCTCCCGGTAGTCCCGATGGCCACCGAGAGATAGCCATGCCTGGATGTCACATTTTAAATCCTACCTGTTGGATTTCAGCAATGCATGCAGTTATTTAGCTGCTGTCGCATCAATTGACATGCCATCTCATTTTCTCTCTTTCTTTTTCTATTTTGAGCACCACAGCATTTTGTTTTATCCATCTTTTTCGACGACAACTAACTACTCGTACCTACTCGCTCAGCGCTCACGGCACCCCCGCCCGCTCGCGATATTACCCGCCCCCCTTCTCCATGAGGGCGCCTACTCTAGCCTAGCTCTAAAATTTTATATAACAATGAAGGAATGCAGAAATCATTTAGAAACGCACAACGGCAGCTACATATAGAAATAGCTGCCGTTATAGCCTATATATAATTTTTTTTTTTTTTTTTTTTTTTACCATCGCTTTGGCGCCCCCCATTGTGCTGCGCCCCTATGCGCCGCATATAGCGCATACCCACTTTTTGCGCCACTGTATATGGGCCTATTGTGTGTGTATTTTTAAAGGCGTATCTCCAATTTGTGTTTCGAACGTTTGGAAAAAAATAAATCCGAAAAATAAATAGTTGCTATAACAATGTGATGTTATTTTCTTTCAGCGATGTAGGTCTCGAATGCTTATGTAACTATATTATATGAATATGTAACAGCCTATATTTGCGAAATATTAAATACTAAAGTAGAATATTTTATTCCCATTATGCTATTAAAGCGACATTATTGTCGATAAGAGGAACCAATGCAACAATTCAACCTCATTGTTCATCAAATACCCTAAGGGTAGTTAACTGTAATAATCGATTATCGCTATTATAAAAAGGGGAAACAGAAGGAATGTTCGACTCCCAATCGTAGCGACAATGAATGAGTTGTTTCCTCTCCCAGTCTCTTCGCAATGTGTTCAGATTGGGCAAATGCGTCTTTAAATCCTGCATGCAGCTGATGAATGCGGCCAAATGATTCTGGAAGATTCTTTAAGGGCGGATGAGTCGCCTCGGAGAGCATCGCGTGCATTTTTCCAATCTGAGCCGTCCGTTCTCTAACAAGATATTTGCGCATTTTACCTTGGCTCCAATCTGGTTGCCGCACTGGCCGGCTTGCAGGTGCACAATCTCGCGCATGATGCAGCAGGAGGGTCGAGACGGAACCGAGGGGTTAGCTGTCTTCTGCACACTCACGGATTGAGCTGCTTTTTTCTGCTCGTTCTCTAATAACGCCCGCCTCTGGACTCCGTTACTGGGCTGAACGTGTGGTGCAAGATAACGTCATCGCTGTGGCAACAGAGGCTGGAGGAGAGAGGAGGAGGAGGAGGAGCTTAAACTCGTGGAGACTCCGGGTAGGATGCTGAGAGGAGAGGCGACTCCCTGTAAGGACCACTAACTATAAAAGACGTCTGAAAAATATAGGAAAGGGGAAATAGAGAATGGCATCTTAAGTTACAGTGAACATGTTAATTTACGTTAACCTGCGAATTAACTTCTCTGCAATGATACCTTTACTTAAATATATTATAAGCGAAAACACATCCGATAAACCACTAAATATGAATTTAACACCCCATATTATATTATACTAACCACTAGTTTATATTAATCGATAAACTACTCAGTTATTATAATTGTAAGGCACTATGGGTTTTGATAATTGTATTTTACTGTTAACAGCATTGCCTTATAATAACAGCAGTTTATCGATTCATATTAAGAACTTGACATATGTAGGCTATAGGCTACCTATTTAATAAGGTTTGGGTAGGTATGAAATCAATTTCTAGGTTGAAATATCAGCTCGACCGTGGGCACGACCGGTGCTGTTTAAATGGGCATGATGATGCTTCTGTGCTCCAATGCATGGCGTGAATTATACACAATTATACACAAATAAGGAAATGAAAGTATAAATACTAATTTTAAAAATACTTTTTTTTCTTTTTTTTTGTATATTTATTTATTTATATATTTTTGCTTTTTTTTTTACATTTATTTGTATATTTATTTATTTAAGTATTTGAAGAGTTCAGATGCAAAAGCCTCTAAATGCCATTTGAAATTTTCTTCTTTAATGATAATTTTTATCAAACTTCTATATTTAAGTTCAGTAATTTCACTTAAATGGCAATGATAATTACCTATTAATTGTTATTTAAGTGAAATTACTGAACTTAAATATACAAGCTTGATAAAAATCATCATTAAAGAAGAAAATTTCAAATGGCATTTAGAGGCTTTTGCATCTGAACTCTTCATTTATTTATTTATTTTTAATCAAGTCAGCTTTGGCATTCCATAGCAGATGTGATTAGGCCATAATTTACATTCTTAATCAATAAATAAAAATTTTGAGGGAGAGATAGCCTACTAAGGTTATGTCTTAAGGTAGCCTATTGGAGTAAGAATATTAAAACATTTGACAAATCATTTATATAGGCTACAAATCAGAAATAATGAGGGTCCAAGAATGGACCCCCGAGGAACCCCACAGATTAATTTAGCTTGTCTAGAATACTAACACCTAAACAAACAAACAAACAAACAAACAAACAAACAAACAAACAAACAAACAGTCTTCTATTACTATTTAACTTAGTCTAAACCTAATTATAAAAATCTAATAATCTGTACTATTCACATACTATCCCTTGCTTACTCAGAAAACTCAAGTTAAGATTAATTGTTTGGTTTGAGTGCCATTTTTTCCAGATTTTTCCAAAATTGTAAAGCAATTGCATAATTTGATGTATAAATTATACAATTACATTTAAATAATTAGAATTGTTGTTTTGTATTACTTTGGATTAATGAGATTTGCATGCGTGTCACAATGCATAAATATAAACTTATATTCATATCCACAAGTTTCCTACGCCCCATGAGGCCTTGCGTCAAAAGTGGGCGCGACTTCCGGTTGGAAGTAAACAAAGCGCGATTTGACATGCTTGACACTCCTTCATTCAACAGTTGACAGTCATTCAAGTTATAGCGATCCAAACTAGATAACGATGTGGGAACACAACCTCAACGAAATTCAAAAGGGTGAAATAACAGTACCTTTACCCTCCGCAGTCGTTGATTGGGAGTATTATAATAACATTATTAATAATCAATACTCATCAAGGCATGGTGACAGACAGTTGTGCGAGCTGACAAACAATTAAAATAAAAAATACACACTTAGTCATTGTGCTTTGGAGTTTATTCAAAATTATAAATGAATGTGCTGCTTGAATACATTAACTGGCACATTTGGTATTCTGTCAACACAGGCTTTGATCCTGAGTTTAGGTGTAACATCAGTAGAGAACAGCCAAACACATGCTGATAAAAGTTTATAGAATATTAAGAATTTAAACAAATGTACACAGGAAGATTCGTCGTCTTTTGGGAGGTGATGGAAACGACAGTCGTTGGCAGGATCAGAGACAGGCTCTGGGAGGATCACTCTGATTTCGTTTTTAGCTTATGTTCAAAACAATCACGTTTAAGCCACTAAATTAGTTTAGTCCGGCTATACATACAACCGCGAACAGCACATGTTGTCCCTGAGCTCCGTAACGACATCTCTCATAAAGATTTGCGTCTTTAAATAGTAAAATAATTCTCAGAAAAACAGCTAGCATCTTCGCTAACTAACACACAAAATACCATTGGAATGCTACTTCCGCCGCCTCACCGGAAGTTTCACCCACTTTATTTTTTACAGGAGCGCCCCTCGGAAACTTGTGGATACACAATAATCAAATGAAAGTTCCATGAAGAGCCTTTAACAACCATTCCACAAAATATTCTTATAATCGAAAAAAGTTGTATTACATAGTGAAGGACTTTTTACACCAACAATTCTTTTCAATAAAATTTTTTTTTGGGGGTACTTCCGTGGCATCGCCGTGAAAACCCCCTTTTGGAAACTTATTGTGTATATATTAATAATGGATTTATTGCGATGTATGGGTAGCAGAACTTAAATGGTGAAACCACACCTACTATTTGAAGGGGATCAACAACCACCATCTCTCTATCCTTCAACAATCACTTCTAGTTTTACTAGTTCAGTGTGCTCAGACCCCTCCCTCTCTACTGTTGCATGTCAAGACAGACACATTATCAGCACTGTGCGCCATGAAACCAGAACACCTGTAGATGTCTAACGCAGACAACAAGCCCTCCTCTTAAACCCCGAAGAAAGCAGTACCTGCTACAGGACATGTCTGCAAACCTTCCCGAAGAGGACCTCTCCTGTCCCGTGTGCTGCGACATCTTCAAGGATCCGGTGCTTTTGCCATGTAGCCACAGTTTCTGCCGGAGCTGTCTGGACCACTTCTGGGAGAGCGTAGTCGTTCGCAGCTGCCCCGTCTGCAGGAGAAAAGCCTCCAAGAAAAGCCCTCTTTCAAACCGGGCCCTCAAAAACCTGTGTGAAGCTTTTCAGCTGGGGAAAGGCCAGGGCGGTGTGCCTGGATCAAACACCCTGTGCTGGAGACATGGGGAAAAGCTCAAACTCTTCTGTCTGGTGGACCAGGAGCCCATCTGCGTGGTGTGCCAAGCCTCAAAAATGCACAAAGGTCACGACTGCTCTCCCACGGAAGAGGCGGCTCTGGACTGCAAGGTAGAGTTTGACAGAGACACATTGTTTCGACACACTGTGTAACATTGTGTTGCTCTTCTCAAGATTTGCAGCAGCAGGGCATAAGAATGCTGTTTATCAAGTTTGCTTTGACATTATCACAGTGTTCGGCCAAAAAGATCATGGCAGGCTTTCAAACAACACCTTCTTCATTCCCCTTGTTCGAGCTCCCATTGTGGCATATGCGCCCCATTGTATTCTGGGAAAATGGGATCAACTCTATCCAAAATGTGACATAAATCTTTCAAAGTGTACTGGAATGAGTTGTTCATATCGTTTTTCTGCACTGGTTGTTCTCATCTAGTGAGTTGTAGGTCTGTTCTGAAAAAATACACAATGCTAAATGCATATAGGCCTAGTTTCACAGACAGGGCTTAGATGGAGTCAGAATTAGGCCTTAGTTAACTTAAATTATGACATTTAAGTAGCTTTTATAAACTTGCTTTAGAAAAAAAAAACAGTACTGGTGTGCATCATGAGACAAAACAATCAAACTGACTCAATAAAATATTCCATTGCAATTCACTTTTAGTTAACTGTTAACTTTCAGCTCCAACATGCATTTTAACCTGGGACTAGAATGGTCAGTTCACCCAAAAATGTAAATTATCCCATTATTTACTCTCTCTCAAGCCATTCAAGGCGTATATGACTATATTTAAAAGAAAAGAAAAAATCTGTATAATGGAGTAAAATGAAGCCTGATATTTTGACCTAAAAAGTGCATCCATCCATCATAAAAGTAATCTATATTCATCTATATGATTATCTATATTCAAAACTTTATTAACTATAATCACTGGCTTCTTCACTGTAAAAAAATATTTTCTTTTGTCAAATCAACTTTATAATCATTTATTTAGTTGAGATAACGTATTATTTTGAGTTTCTGATGGTTAAATTAATCTCCTTCATTGTATTAACTCACTTTTTCCAGTTCAATCAACTTAAAATTTGAAGGCAATCCAGGTTACTTACTTTTTTAAGTTAAACCAACACTATTTTTTTACAGTGTAGTAATCACAACATTTTTTCTTTTGTCAAATCAACTTAAATAATTTATTTAGTTCAGATAACATATAATTTTGAGTTTCTGATGATTAAATCGTTCTCACTCATTGTATTAACTCACTTTTTCCAGTTCAATGAACTTAAAATTTTAAGGCAACCAGGTTACTTACTTTTTTAAGTTAAACCATCAATATTTTTTTACAGTCCATATACAAGTCTAGTTCAGGAAGAAGAGTGACCTCTGACCTGACGCATGTTAATATAACTCTGAATGTGTTTGGCTGAAAGTCTTGAGGATGAGTAAATTATGAGATCGTTTTCATTTTTGGGTGAACTAACCCTGCCTTGTCTGTGAAACTGGGCAATAGTAAGGCATTGCTGCGAAATAAACAAACATATTAACTTTTAATTTTGATGCCCAGAGCAAAATCTTGTTCCTGAAGCACTGTTTTGCGCACATTACATTGAGAAATATATCCTTATTTTACTTTAAAAAAAAATATTATCCATTGCAGGACGAAATGTGTGCTGCCATGAAGATACTGCAACATAAGCTGGAATTATTCAATAAAGCAAGACAATCTTCAGCCTTTACTTTGGAGCACATTAAGGTAAATATTTTATTTGAGCAGATTTTTGTCAGAAGGTCAGTCGGTAGATTTCTTCAATGTCACTTATTTGTCTTAGAATCAGGCTCAGCGGGTTGAGAGACAGATGAAGGATGAGTTTCTCAAGCTTCATCAGTTTCTGTATGAGGAGGAAGAGCGCAGGTTATCAGAACTGAAGGAGGAGGAAGAGCGGCGGGTCGCGGCAATGAAGAACAGAGACGACGATAATGGAAAGAGGATAGCGTCTCTTACAGACATGATCAGGACAATGGAGCAAACCATGAACGCTGAAGATTTAACATTGCTGCAGGTGAGAATTTTTACATCTTTTTGAATAACATGTTCGTCTCGTTTTACGACTGTAACCGAAACGCTGCGTCGAGAATAGAAACATTGGGGAATGCCTTCGGCATGAAGCGTCTGAAGTCAACTATTCAATCTCGATTGGCGTAGCCTAATCACATCACTCGTGACGTCGCATGTGAAAGTGATACGGAAGCTACAAAAGGACGCCGGATCATAACAGCGTCAGCTTCTGATTGGTCAAAGCACGTCGTTCTCAGGAGCGCGAAAAGAAATGTTAGATGAGAGGTGAAGGCAAGAGTGAACCTCGTACATCAGTTATGAGAGGTTTCCGTAGATAACCAACTGTCTAATTGAAACAAGGGCGATAACTCCTTGCCCTTGATACATATGAAGAGTTCAGATGCAAAAGCCTCTAAGTGCCATTTGAAATTTTCTTCTAAAATGATCATTTTTATCAAGCTTGTATATTTAAGTTCAGTGATTTCACTTAAATGCCAATGAAGATTACCTATTAATTGTCATTTAAGTGAAATTACTGAACTTGAATACACGAGCTTGATAAAAATGGTCATTCTAGAACAAAATTTCAAATGGCACTTAGAGGCTTTTGCATCTGAACTCTTCATATAGATCTAACTCCTACCAGCCCGAGGCCTAACAAAGGGGACGCACACTGAATAGTTTCTCCTTAATGTTCGCCATGAGTGACTGACAACACCAAAGACTAACAGGTTGATAAAGCTTGCTGAAGACCAGAAGCTAACGCTGTTATGATCGCCGTTACATGCGACGTCATGAGTGACATGATAATGATTAGGCTACGCCAATTGATATTGAATAGTCAACATGACATCATGACTTTTGCGTAAACATACACGCCACTTTCGAGTCAAGTGGCGTGTTATCTCTACGCATTTTGAGCTATCCGCGTGTATGCGTATATGTCTACGCCATTAACGTCCGAGTGATTCCGCGTGTCCGTACACGCCGTCAAATGTCCGCGCGAAACAAAGCAAAATGTAGATCTACGTCTGGGGAGCGATCTTTTTTTTTCCTAGGATGGTAAGGGAACAGTCATAAATGCCATTAACCCCAGTGACGGGTAGGTTTAGGGACGGGGTTGAGGTAAGTCATATATTTATATATACAGTAATAACGTTAAGTCAACGGCGATTATGCGTCTTGATAGCACGCCAAAAATGGAAATATGAATTGGTGTGTCATACACACGCTACTTCATGAGATCAGTCTGGAATAGTTGACTTCAGACGCTTCATGCCGAAAGCATTCCCCAATGTGTCAATTCTCGACGCAGCGCGAAAAGGCACTCATTCTCATTCATTCGTTCATTCATCCATTCACCTTTATCTTTTACAGAACTTCAAAGCTACAATAGAGGGGTAAGTATAACGATGACTTTCTTTTTGTTACTTTTTTCCTTTGCTTTCTCCTTTTTTGTTTACTATTGTTTCTAATTCAGTGGCTCTGCGAAACATGTGGGTCGCAGCCTAAAAATGTTTACGGGGGAACCATGTACAGTACAAAATATGTTCTATGTGTTGTTCTTGACCTATTAGACTGGTCGCTAAAGTTGCTAAGCAATACAGGCCTAAGAGTTTATGATTAGATCATTATTGCTGAGATTATTATGTTTCTAGCATGTGATGTTTGGAATCAGTTCTTCTAACCCAGATTGTGAATGAATGGTTGGGAGGAGCATGAAGAATCATTTTCTTACATGAATTGGTACATGAGTCCAGAACTAAAATTCACTGAAAGTCTTTGGCATGTGCTGGAGGAGACTTTACAGCAGGGGTCTCCAACACGTGGCTCGCGAGCTACCAGTAGCTAGTGGCCTGATTGGAGGTAGCTCGCCAAGGGGCCGTTCACATATCGCATCTTTTTCGTGTCCAAGTTCGTTATTTCAAATGTAGGTGCACGGCAAGCTAATTGAAGTGACATGCTCATTTTTCCCAGGCGCAGCGAGATGAAAAAATAGCTAATTTTCAGAAGGCCGCAAGCTTACCGGAGGTCATGTGACAAGAAACAACCAATCAGCTTCACCCTTCCCGTAACAACATTGAACGCTCAGTCAACATGAAGGATGTGGGATGCACCCAAACACTATGGGGTTTTTTTCTCTTCTCCGTAAATAAATCTTGTAGCAGAGCTATGTTGTGGAGAAGCAGTGCATGGTTGCATAGCAACGACAGACGCCACGGCAAAATCGGACCGACTTTTCAGCACGTTCTCATCCTTTAACGTCATATAGAACGCTATATGCAAAAACGGCGCTAAACTATGCACATGGCACCCTTTATCGTTAATATAACACGCGAACCCAAGACGTTATAATTCCTTTAGCGTGAATATGACACGCACACCCTATCCCACACCTAAACTTAGCCCTCACAGCGCGTGTTATATTCACGATAACGGGTGCCATGTGCGTAGTATAGCGCCGTTTTGTCATATAGCGTTCTATATGACGTTAAAGGTTGAGAATGCGTTGGACTTTTACTATTAATAATAAAAGATAAGCTAATGTGCATTGTAAAATATCTTTTTTTGTATTATTCTTTTTATAAAAATGATTTAGAGGCTGAAATGTGTCAGGCTACTATAAAACCTTTTTTTGGTCAAAATTTAATTTTAACGTGTACATGTTAGTAGATAACATGTTGCAAGACACTCCTTTAAAATCTGGCCATCATTTTTAATACTATTATTTTAATGTTTATGTAAACAAAAAGTACATATTGATGCTAATTTTATTTGTTATTTGCTGGTTTTCGACATAAAACCTTTATTTTATTGTGTAGTATTAGTACTTTTTGAATTAGATTCTGTGATAACCGTGATCATTATGATCTCTAGTTATTATGTACTATAAAATCAACTATAATTGGTTTTATAATTGATTTAATAATTGACTATAATTACAGTATAATATGCAAAGTACAATTTTCTATAAAAAATATATCTCTGTCATTTAAGGGTGACATATGTAGGCTTGCGAAAACTCTTTTAGGTCTAAAACAATTAGGATAGCTGTTAATATGAGAGTTATGAGACATTATTTAAGAGATTTAAGTATTGTATTACATGAGTAGCTCTCGGCCACTTTCATTTTTAAAAAGTAGCTTGGTTGGAGACCCCTGCTTTACAGTACTGGACTCTTGCATTGACAATACAAGATCTTGGCTAAAAATCGCTGAACATCTTGAGGAAAATAAATGTTGTGAGGCTACTTTCATCAAGAGGTCCATCAATTTTTGGTCAATATCTTCTATTGTCAAAGCAAGAGTCCAGTACTCTTTAAAGTATATACAGTAAATGTACGATATTATTATTAGCATTTTTTGCAGAACATGGAGCACATTGCAGGATCCAGAATGCATGTCTGGATCTTTGTTGGATGAATCTAAATATCTTGGGAATCTTAAGTACAAGGTCTGGGAGAACATGCAGGCAGTTGCCCCTTACAGTAAGTACCTCTTTTAAAGTAAAGGCCATGTGTTGGTTTATTTTGAAGGGTTAATGTAGTTAATTTATTTTGCTGCGTAGTTCTAAGTATTTAAAGCTATAAGTTAAGCATATCATGGCTGATAGGACCACATACTGCATATTGGAATTTTGTGATGTCATATTAGCTATATTTTAATCAAATTACAATGAAATTAGTTCAAAGAAAGAATGGTTTGAATCATGATAAAACAATATAAAAAATAAACTTGGACTCAAAACGTTCAATCAAAGTATTAAAATCCAAACTAGTAAAGTTTGGAAAGGAAAAATGTGCAAAATATAGTCTCCCCTTTTATTGAATTACTCTGTTTTAAAGCCAATATATGTTATTTAGCCTACATGATTTGAACAGAACCAAATGTAGAGTTTATGTGTGTTCACGAATCGGTTCATCATTGAAAAGTATATAATGACACACACACAAAAAACACTAAAGAACCTGTAAATGACAAATTAAAAGCCAAGTGTTGATGTATTAGTAGGGTAAATTATTCTGCCGAATAAAATCCAGTCAAGTTTCACAATGGCAATTTTACCAAATCCAAATCATGGTTTTGAAAATGCTAAAACAAAATGGTTTGGATATGCCAAACTGTCATGGAAGTGTGTGACACTGAGTGTGAACGTGTATTTGTCTGGGTTGTGTCAAGAAGAACATCCGGTGTAAAACCTGTGCAAAATCAAATTGTGCGTGTGTGTGTGTGTGAAGATCAATTAACATCAATTTTCACATAACAAATGGAATACTCTGAGTCATACATGAATGATTGGGTTTTTGTAAACGCACTTTAGTTGCATTGCCTGGACAATTAGTTAATTCAATCAAGGAAATTTGGGGGAGTTATAAGCATATCAGTGTATATGTAAACATGCTCAATGTATGTTTTCAACTTTCGTCAGGCCCAATAATTCTGGACCCAAACACAGCCCACCCTTGCTTGACGCTCTCCGATGACCTCACCAGTCTCCACTATAGCACCCCAAACCAAGGGCTCCCCAATAACCCTGAGCGTTTTCACATCAGTGCAGAGGTGCTGGGTTGCACTGGCTTTAACTCGGCAAGCCACAGCTGGGAGGTCGAGGTTGGGGACAACGAGGACTGGATCCTGGGCTTGGCCAGCGAGCATGTGAAGAGAGATCAGGAAGTACCTGCGAGACCAGAGAATGGCTTCTGGACCATCTGCCTCCGTGATGGGCAGTACAGGGCTATGGCATCACCACCAACATCTCTAAAAGTGGAGGACAAACTGCAGAGGGTCTTGGTTCAGCTGAACTGGGACCGAGGGGAGGTGATTTTTTCAAAGCCTTCATGTCAGGAAATTATTTACACTTTCAAACAGGTCTTTGCAGAAAGGTTATTGCCATACTTTTACACGCAAAGCAAGCATCCTTTGCGAATTCTATCCAAGCCTGTGTTGGTGTCTTTATGAAAGTATCATTTAAAAAAAAAAGAAATTATAATTTTGAAAATATATATCTGTGAAACTACACATTTGACAGATGCTTAAAGCGATTTATGTTTTATAAGTTCATCCATCTCGTGGAAATCAACCCCTGATCTTGCCATGCTCTACTGTTTGAGCTAAAGCAGACAGTATAACCTCTTAGTAGTACACTACACTTCTATTAAATAGATGCACACTGCATGGTATTGGTATTGAGTAGCCCAAAGAGTTCTCTAAGGGGCTGTTTACACGAAACAGTTTTTAACTAAAAATGAAATACTGTTTATACGTTTTGGCCGTTTATTTACATAAATGGGACGAGGGACCTTTAGGGGGTTTCAAAGTGCATGTTTTTGAAAAACGTGAAAGAAAAACGTTGTTTTTAGTACATCGATGTTGTGTAAACATGTCCTTAATGTGCCTGTGACCTTGATTTACAATTTTGTTTTCTACACATTCATATGCAAGCTTTTCTTTATTGCTATTAAAAAAAAAAACATTCAAACAAATGCACTTTGTTTTTTTGAATCCGTCAGTGATTATCCCAGTGAGGAGGCACTTGTTCTCTCGGATAACTTCCAAAAGACAAAAAAAAGTTGATGTGTTATATTATATTATACAATATGTGCTTCAAATGGCTCTGCATGTTCTATAGGAATATGGTCTTATCTAAAAAAAAATGTATATACATTTTAACCACAATTGTTGCGCCAGGCATTACATCTTCACGCTGGAAACATCACACGTCGCGTCATCTATCTAAGTTATTTGTCTCTATACTCCTGTTCAACAATTGCAGGTAAGGGCGAAACATTCTCAATTTCTCAACTTCAAAATCGTTTTAATTCATTATTATTATATAAAAAAAAACGGTGATGTTTCCTAGGTGATGCCTAATGCCTGGCGTGTCGCCAACCAGCACAAGACAAACAATTGTGTTTAAAAATAAAATCTCGCTATATAAGACACTATTCCTCAGCTGGGAACGTGCAGAGCCGTTTAAAGCACTTCAAATACTAAAAAGCCCAATTATTTTTTTAATTGTAATTTTTTTTTTTTTATTTGTGGTAGGGCAAGAAATGCAAAAGGAGTTAACAAAAGGTCAATTTCCGCTCTTAGAGGACGATCGCTGACAGTTGAGATCAGTTGCAATTTTGCTTGGTTTATAATCATTTATACTATATCAGGATTTGAACACAGACCCATGCATGCATATATAAAGTACACCACTTGACTACACTCTTAGAAGAAAAGGTTCTATATAATAATTCATCACATTTATATAGCGCCTTTCTGGACACTCAAAGCGCTTCACATAGAGGGGGGAATCTCCTCAACCACCACCAGTGTGCAGCATCCACCTGGATGATGCGACGGCAGCCATATTGCGCCAGAACGCTCACCACACACCAGCTTACTGGTGGAGAGGAGACAGTGATGAAGCCAATTGGTGTATATGGGGATGATTAGGAGGCCATGATGGACAGAGGCTACTGGGCAAATTTGGCCAGGATGCCGGGGTTACACCCCTACTCTTCCGAAAGACATCCTGGGATTTTTAATGACCACAGAGAGTCAGGACCTCGGTTTCACGTCTCATCCGAAGGACGGTGCTCTTTTGACAGTATAGCATCCCCATTACTATACTGGGGCGTTAGGACCCACACAGACCACAGGGTGAGCACCCCCTGCTGGCCTCACTAACACCTCTTCCAGCAGCGACCTGGCTTTCTCGGAAGGTCTCCCATCCAGGTACTAACCAGGCTCAGCCCTGCTTAGCTTCAGTGGGCAACCAGTTTTGGGCTACAGGATGATATGGCTGCTTAAAAGGTTCTATCAGCACTACGTATTTGGAACCCAAAAGTTTCTATACACTCTTAAAAAAAGGGTTCCTCTGGGTTCTATATAGAACACTGGGGTTCCATACTTGGCCAATAGAACCTTTTACCAAAAAAATGGTTCTATATAGAACCATTTTGGAGTTCCATATATGAAGCGGGGGATGGAACCATTTCTTCTAAGAGTGTACGACTCACAGCCTAAAGAAAATTACCACCCCCTTAACTGGTGTCCCCTAAAAAAAAAATAATGCATGACATTCCTGAATGTAAAATCTTAATACCATAAATGGGTACATGTGTTGCAGTTAGGAATGTTATCCAGATCTTCACTTACCTGTAACCTATAGCTTGAGTGAGTAGGATGTAGTAGGAGATGAGTAGGAGAGCCAGGATACCCTGGCGTGGGACTGGGCCCAATAAGCTTGGCTTGACTCCAGTGAAAACACTTGAACCAACACAAACCTGACACTAAGAAAAAATCAAAACAACAAAACTTCATGGGATCACATTTAAATGTACATTCATCAATTTAAGGAAATGGTCAAGGATGACAAAGAACCAAATGTTTGAACAAATTTATTTCTGGGGTCCATTAAAAACAGACCAAAAAAAATTTCCTAATTTTTGCTCTGTTACACATGGGGGCGCCACAACTCTTTAAATTAACCTTTGAGTGTTTTATTTAGAATTCACAAAAATAAAATATGAATGCTTGGAAAGTTACAAACAATGTATATTTGCATAATGAATGATTTGATATTCAGAACTCAGTGTTACAATTCAAAGACATAACATGGATAGAGTCTGAAACCTCCAGAACAATCATTTTTGCTACTAAGATCCAAGTTCAATTTATAATAGATTATATATGACATACAATATATGTAGGAATATTGCAAACCGAAGAGCTATTAAAATGCAGTACTAGTAGGCTACAGTAGGATGATAATTATTTTTTTCCCGCCATGTTTCAGACATTATTTCAGGCGGAAGTTATTTTTTCCTTTAAGGGCTTGTCTTGTTCCTTGCAGCTTAACTTCTTTACCCAAGAATCAGGCAAGAATGGTACTTTCTCCAGGCGGGACAAATAAGTTAAGGGCTGGATAGTGCTGCTGATGTTCAAGAAGGCATAACCCACTGGCTGTACATAGCAAGTGAAGATCTTGTGTGGATAATGGTCTTCAAAGGGGAACAGAGCAACTGGAGGGAGATAGTTGCTCACGATGATGATCAAGATAGACAGCACCATCTTAAAAGCCTTTTTTTTCATCGGATGCATCTCATCTTTACCAGAGCCTCGTGAGCGTTTCAGGGCCCAGAGGATGCTCACGTTACACACCACCATCCAGGTAAAAGCAAACAAGACCTCACCAGTAAAAACCTTTTCAAAGTTGGGCAGACCACCAACGGTTTTGGCCGAAGCATAAGCAAAAGTGAGCAGCAGAACCACAATGCTCAGGCCGATCCTGTATTTGATGTCCTTCAACTGTCCGAATGCGATGGGGAAGAGAACGGCTATAAATCGATCCAGACAGACACACGAGAGGAAGAGCGGCCCGCTGGTGTCCTTAACACCAAAGGAGAACTTCAGAGCCATCCAACCCATAGCACTTTTCCAGTGGTAGAGATTGAGTAATGCTATGATAGTCATAAATCCGAAGTAGGTGTCCATGAAAGCCAGGCAGCCCAGGAAGATGTCAGAAGTTGAAGGCTCATTCCGCGTGTTTATCAGGTTCGCTATGACCAGGATGTTGGCAGGTATTCCTATGATCACGTTGAAGGACTGCATAGTTAGGTCAAAAAGGATACCACTCACCATTTGTTCGCATCCTTCAAACACACTGAAGGTATGCGTCGAATTGTCGGAATCGGTCGTTAGGTTAGCAGAATTCAGGTTGCTTTTCAGGGTGCATCTTGTTCTTGTGTTGTGGCATAGTTGACCATCCATGACTTCTAGTGAACTGAAACCAATGAATGAAATTCTGGAGGAGGAGAAAATGACATTATTAAAAAATGTAACATATTACCATGGCAATATAATTAGGTATTCCTGTTAACATTAATTATATACGTTTTAGAAATTGATGTCAGATTTAGATGGTTTTATACTAAATTGAGTTCAAAAGGTGTAGCACACACATCCAAAACAATAAAACTGGGTGCTGGGCAAACAGGCAGCAACAAGAGTAAACAATAAGTCTGCACACCAGAAAACGTGTAGCACCAGGAAAAAAAACGGGGCCCGATACGTCACGCGTGGTGAGCAACTATTAAATTTGCTATTAAAGGTGAAGTTTTTATTTTAGGGCTGACCAAACCTGTTCTTGGACGCCCACTGCATATTCATAATGCATCCTTGAACCAGCTAATCCTACGCTATCTCACGACCAATTCGTACGAGTGATTCAAAAGTGGCTAATTCGTACTATTCATAAGACCTCACTCGTACAAATTTGTACGATTTGTCTAAACCCACGTGACGGTTATGTTTAGAGGCGGGGTCAGGGGTAGGTCATTCGTACGAATTCATACGAATTGGCTAATTCGTAAAATATGTACGATTTAGCAAAATCGTACTAATTCGTACGAGTGAGGTCGTACGAATTGTTACGAATTAGCCACCTCGTAAAATTCGTACGAATTCCCGTGATATCGGCTTGGCTAATCCATGGCTTGACTAGAAACCACACAGTTGTGTAGGGAAGGCTAAACTCCGTAGGACATTGGCTCTTCCGGAGCAGAATCGAACATCCCTGACTTATGTCCTCTTAGGGAGGCAGTGGTAGCCAATCCTGCTCCTGGACAGGAAAGTCCTGCAGGGTTTAGCTCCATTGCCTTTACACTGCTTAATAGGAAAATTTGTGCACATGTAATTATACTTTAAGCTTCATAGACTTGGAAAGTCCATTTAGGTATTCCCCAGGGGTAACCAATTATGTTCCTGGAGTGCTACTTACAGAGTTTAAATTCAACTCGAATCAAATAAACCTGAAAGAGCTAATCAAGGTGTTCAGGTTACTTGAGAATGACATGATTACTTCATGTTTTGGTGCAGGTTGCAACTGAAGTGTGCTGGAAGGCTGTCCTTTAGGAGCAAAGTTGTACACTTTCTTGAGTGGTAATGAGTTCTGTTTGGTACAGGGCGTCTGAGAAGATTCAATCTAAATGGCAAATTTTGAGATCTGACAATACATCAGCTATGACAAACAGTGTCTCCCAAGGGGATATTCTCCTGTTATCCTGCTACATATACCCATAGGAGGATAGCCAATGCAACAATTACAAGTACCCAGGGTACACAACAACACATCTGTGCAGAACAACTGTCAAGAGGGAATTCAGGGTCTATAATAAACAGACATGAGACCAGCCCCATTTGATTTAACATGAAAATTGATTTGCCAGGAATGTCATGTGTTGCATGACTTAATTCACTGTTTCTCTCCAACCCTGGTTCTGGAGTGACCCCCAACACTGCACATTTGGTACGTCTCCCTATTCCAAGGGTGTCCAATCCTCCTCCTGGAGAGTGAATGTCCTGCAGAACTTGGCCCAACACACCAACCTGGAAGTTTCTAGTCATCCTGAAGATTTTCTTAAGCTGGTTTAGACGCATTTCATCAGGGTAGGAAACAAATCATACAGGAAGTTGGTCTTCCAGGACCAGGATTGGACACCCCTACTCCAATCAAACACCTCATTATTATACACTGTTAAAAATTACCAGCATTTCACAATAATTAACAGTATTATTTCACAGTAACTTGTTGTGATTACATTTCCCTGTAATATCCCAATGAATACCTGTAAAAACTACAATATCCTTGGATTTTACAGCATTTAACTCTTATTTTACAATAAAACATTGCAATTTAAAACCTGCTGTTATGTCACAGCAAGGTCTGTAATATCACAGCAACACAGTGAAAAAAAATAAGGATTTCACAGCATCAAACAGTATTATTGCAGTGAAATACTGTAGCCTATGCCCTGGGAAGTCATGTGACATAACCGAACTGTTGCAGGCTCCGTCGTCTCCCGCCGCCTCTTCTATTTCGGGCTTAACGGAGAAGGTGAGCATGCATGTTTGCAGCACTTACACCCATTTTATTTTAATATGATAATATTTACTTTCAAATAAACGTTTATCGCATGACACAGTTCACATTTTGTTAGCAGCTGCCCGGAATTGTTGAAAGTTCTCACAGCATAATAGTTAGTAATGACGATCGAGTTTTGCTATTTTCATGTCTATCACCGTTTAGACAAATCTGTTTTTTGTAGAGTTTATAAAATCAGTGATGGGACAAACATTACTATTTATGTGTGCACATTTCTGTACTTAGTCAATGTTATCATAGATTAGCAGGGCTAACCGTTAGCTGTTTAAGTTAATACATTTCTGCGTCCCAATTCACATACTAACCGTCCTAAATAGTATTCGAAAACAGAATTAGTAACTTACGTCCCAAATCGCACGTTGAAATAAGTGTTTCAAAGATTATCGGGTGGTCTAACGTTACTATTCCCGGTCAGAATCCGAAGTGTAGATCCGTGCACACCTTGTGCGTTGGACCAGGATTCGGTTAGAACAACAAACACGAGTGAAAAGTGTTAAGAACTGAAACTATCTTTGCTTATTAACAGGTGCTTCCTGGGCATCAATCCCGAAAGAGGATCGAAGACCAAGAAGAGGACCACAATGAACCCTCATATTAGCACCCTATTGAGGAAACTAATTGACTTTGAGTGGGCGTCATAGTGTTTTTTAGCAGTGGTACTTGTCAGGCTCCACAGTTAAAAGTTTGCACAATGTCTCTGCATTTTCTGCATTTTAAAATGGCTTTTATGAAAACAATCTAAGTTGAAATTCTAAAAAAATTAATTTCTTAAATTCTTGCTGTACATTGAAACATATGTGTTAATAAATATGCCATTGGGCTAACATTGACTTAACCTCAGAGTTGTTTGTTGTTGGGGGGGGGGGTTATATTGTGTGTGTGTGTTTATATGAAGAGTTCAGATGCAAAAGCCTCTAAGTGCCATTTGAAATTTTCTTCTAGAATGATAATTTTTATCAAGCTTGTATATTTAAGTTCAGTAATTTCACTTTAATGGCAATGATATTTATCTATTAATTGTTATTTAGGTGAAATTACTGAACTTAAATATAAAAGTTTGATAAAAATCATTATTAAAGAAGAAAATTTCAAATGGCATTTAGAGGCTTTTGCATCTGAACTCTTCATATTGTAATTCCCCAGTAATGTACTGTAATATCACAGATATAAAATTACAGTAAATTGCTGTGAGCATATTTCACATTATATTACTGTAATCCTTACTGTGAAAGTAATGCAAAATTTATCCAATTATTTACTGTAAATTCACAACGAAAATTTTAACAGTGTAGGCTTCAATAGATGTGTTACAATTAGATACTGTAAGAAGACATGCAAAAGGTACACTGCTGGCGGTCCTCCAGGACAAAAGTTGGGAAACATAAAACATGTCAAACCACAACTTCTGTGGTTCATCTGTCTCCTTTATAGTCGAGTGTTGGTGAAGCACCACCCTAAGTCAAGTACCACTGTTCCACTGCTCCACAAGGGTCTCAGAAGGACTCTCATGTCCTTACTCTCTCTGCCTTCAGGCTAAACTCTCTCCAGTGGTACGCCTGCTAAAGGATAAGGAGGCTCTCAGGGATTGATCTTAATCAGTCGTGTTTTTCTCCTTCAGCCCTGGGGACTTCAACCAGCTAGAGGGGGATAATGGAAACTTGATTCTGACAAGTGTTAAAGTTATTTGAGAAGTCTGTTGTGAACTATTCACACACTCTCATTCAGTGGTTCTTAACAGTGGTTCAGATGTACGCCCAACTCTACACAACTTTTTGTATGTCTCCATAATCAATCCTGATTCAACTTGCTCGTTAAGTAGAGACTCTGTAACCTGAAATGGGTGTGCTAGATAAGAAAGACGTCCAAAATGTCTACTGTTGTGGTACAGAAGGACCAGGGTTGGGAAACACTGCTTTAAATCAGTATAATTCCAAATTTGAAGTCAACAAAAAAACAGATTTGACCGTTTACTCCCTTAAAGGATTAGTTCACTTTTGAAAAAACTTTTGCTGATAATTTACTCACCCCCATGTCATCCAAGATGTCCATGTCTTTCTTTCCTCAGTCGAAAAGAAATTTAGGTTTTTGATGAAAACATTCCAGGATTTTTCTCCATATAATGGACTTCAATGGGAACCGGATGGTTCAAGTATCAAAAGACGGTTAATAGCTGTTTCAGATGCAGCTTCAAATGTCTTTAAACGACACCAGACGATGAATAAGGGTCTTATCATGCGAAACGATCGGTTATTTCAAAACTTATTCCAAAAATGTAACTTTTATAAGGACAAATGCTAGCCTTGCTAAATTCTCTGAGGCGCGTTTGTAACGTCACGTAATACGTAATTACGTTCAAAAGGTCACGGGCGACGTAGCCGAAAGTACAGAGTCAGTGTTTACAAGTTGAACGCATAGGTTGAACGTGCAAACTAACTCAAACGCCGTTTACAAAAAAAGGAATTAAAAGGAAAAACAACGATGTCGGACGATTTTGATTCTGTACTTTCGGCTACGTCGCCCGTGACCTTTTGAACGTAATTACGTATTACGTGACGTTACAAACGCGCCTCAGAGAATTTAGCAAGGCTAGCATTTGTCCTTATAAAAGTTACATTTTTGGAATAAGTTTTGAAATAACCGATCGTTTCGCATGATAAGACCCTTATTCATCGTCTGGTGTCGTTTAAAGACATTTGAAGCTGCATCTGAAACAGCTATTAACCGTCTTTTGATACTTGAACCATCCGGTTCCCATTGAAGTCCATTATATGGAGAAAAATCCTGGAATGTTTTCATCAAAAACCTAAATTTCTTTTCGACTGAGGAAAGAAAGACATGGACATCTTGGATGACATGGGGGTGAGTAAATTATCAGCAAAAGTTTTTTCAAAAGTGAACTAATCCTTTAATGTATATTCATGGTCTTATGCATGCTTCAAAGAAGAAGAAAAAAAATAACACTGTATTCTATATCTGAAACAATTTTAATTTACATAATCATTACATTATAGCCAAACAAGTTTCAACCACATCCCTCCTCCCTCTTCTCGGTGACAGGTGCAACACCAACTTAGCAGAAATATAGATTGCAAGAAGGTGTGTTTTTGATTGATAATTTCATCAACTGGTGAAAGCAGTTTGAGGCAGTTTTAAGGGGTTGTATAGTTACATTATTGAAAATGAATAAATGAATTGACCTATTGGTAACTTTTTTGAGCTCCTTGTGCTACTTTCCTCCCCACCACCCCTTTTACTGCTGAAGCAAAACATGCAGTGGGGTGAATCTTTCTTAATAGTGCTGTACAACAGAGGTAAAGCTAATCAATTCTCATAATAAATGAAAAAGAACAAATATGTTTGCCTGATTCGGTCACATAATCTCTTATTTTCCATACAAGAGTTATCAAACAGACTCTCTTTTTTGTGTGCTCTTCTTATGAATCTTTGAAGGATCTCTGAACTTGTGACTGATCTTACACCAAGTGAGCCAAACACCCCCAAAGAACGCTTGACTGTTTATAATACTGATAATAATGTTGGTAATATTAATGTTATAATTAACACATAATATTCACTTGGTTCGAGTGTTGACTCCATCATGACTAAAGTAGACCAGAAAAGGCATAAATTGCCAAGGCACAGCATTATAAATGCAAGGAGAAAAAAAAATGGCTCTTGGTTTTGTTCTTTTGAAGAGGAATCATAGGTAAAAATATCTTATATTATTATTAGTGCGTGTCCTCTCACCAAAATAATTCCAGATGAATGTTAATAAGTCATGGACTGTTTTCCCACATTGTCAACATGATTCTGCTAAACTCTGCAAAATTTCTAAATCACTTTGCTGGTATGACCAGTTACTGAATTCACATAGCTTTCTCTTCTCATTTTGCCAATAATGTACTGCATCAGTATTGTTAAGATGTTTTGGGGCAGATATTAAAACTTTGAATGAGTGACTTATCAGTTTCCCTTCTCCATAAAAAAATGTATTTTTCACCTTCCACCTACAAGTCTTGTACTTGTTTTGAATGTTAAAAAAATTAGCTAGATTTAAATTTAGCTAAATCTAGCAAGTACAATTTTAAATCATCATATTTTATTAGTTACTGTTGTAAAAATTAAGAAAAAACAATCCGATTAAAAGAAAACTTCAAAGTTTAAAAAAAAAAAATGTACCAATGATCTCTTATTACCATCAGTGTCACTTACATTGTAATATCAAAAACTCTTTTTAGGTAGAATAGTTGAAAATACTCTAAGCATAATCTAAACAACTGCAAAATAAACAACCATTTGTTTAAGAAAAAACCCTATGGCACAAATAATGACATTATTAATGCATGTATAAAGGTATTTAGGGCTATCAATATGCATAACATGAAGATCGAGAAGATAGAAAAGACAAGAAAACGTGTGCAACTTACCAGATAGACGTTTTTAGTCCTAAAGATGCAGGTCAGATTGTGGAGTCGCCTTTATAAACATCACGAGGCCATGAGGAATTGCAATTGTTGATAGGAGGCAGGGTCTTTTTTGAGGTGCTTTCTTGACTCGGTCCCTGATGGTGAATTAGACTGTGTTTTCTAGATTCATCTGTCCTCACAGGATCAGAACTATTTTGGTGGATGTTTTCTTGGTAAAAGCTCATAGTGTGTTGCTTTAGAACTTACTCAGGATTATTTTGAACCATATAGATCCAATTTAGTAATTGGAAAGAGCAGCTTTTCTAAGAAAAAGCGAGAGATCTTTCAGTTTTTACATTTTCTGCCTACGATGTTCCCACATGTCCATTTTGGAATAATAAAAAAGCAATTTCTCTGAATGTAATTTAGCCAATATGTTACTCATTCCAAATTGACAAAACGTTTAAGAAATTTAATCTGTAATACTTCTTACAAAAGCACAGTGTATTATTTTTTTAAAGATTACTCTATGTATGAGGGCAATGAAAAGACTGCATAAATTCAGTCAGATCAGAGAGAATAAATGGGTTCGGTGAGGCATGATCCAGCCCATCACACAACACCTCTCCCCTGACTCCGACTTTCATGCTCCAAAACTCGATCTGGGGGCAGATTTGCATCTTGGGACAGGTCCTGGTTTTATACCACCGGCCCAGAGGCCCTCATGTCAGTCTGTCACCCTCTTTCATTGCAAACAGAGAGCACAGGTGCAGGACTCTGCTGCCAGTATGTGTGCACTGTGTGTTACTATATGTGGCTGCTCCTGATGGAGGGTTTCATAAGTTGGAGAAATTGTTTTTTTATGATTGTGTATCAAGACTCTAGAAAGTCTTATGAAAAAAAGTAGGCATTTGTAAAGGAAACTAGCAAGTGCCAATTACTCAAACACTTACTGTACTTAATGTAGTTCCTACAGTATACACATGGGGATCAATTCAGCTCATGGAGATCTGCACTCTTGCAGAGTTTAGTTCCATCCCTATACTCTAACACAGCTGCATTTTATAACTGCAAAACCTTGATTACCTAGTTCAGGTGTGTTTGAATAATGTCAGATCTAAACTCTGCAGGAAGGCTGATCAGGATTGAACAGTTCCCCTCTTGTACAGCTTTCCCATGGGCTAAACCAGTATACCATAATGCCATTTTGTGTCCATTAGGGACTTCTTTTCAAAGTTGAATGGATTTTACCTGGATGATGTGGTGATCTACAGTAGGTCCTGGAAAGAGATTCTCTTCCATCTAAATGATGTTTTAAAGTCTTTAAATGCCATAACTGACCATCAACCAGAAGAAATACTCACAGACACAAACTGTAAGTTACCTTATCCTAATTTATCCGTTCATCCATCTTCCATGCCGCTTTATCCTCTGTGTAGGGTCATCATAGAGGAGTGCTGGATCAGAATATCTCAGGCTGAAGGAGGTTACGTTATTGGTTAGGGCAAAATTAGACCACACATGGAAAAGCTGGAAGCCAAAATCACTGAAAAAAAGGAAAGCTAGAGCTTTTGGACAAATCGGCAGGTACAGGAGATTCGTTATACAAGGGAATCACCTCTCACACTTACTAAATGCTTAAAACTATTTTAATAACAAACCCTGTGGTTAATATTTTGACTCATGCGAGTCTTCATCAGAACTTGCATGCGTTGAAACGTAAACCACATGGTTTGTTATTAAAAATTAGTTTGGGAGTATTTAGGGAGTGTGATAAAAGTAGAAGTGTAGAAGTTCTTACCTTTGTTTGATTTGTATTTTTTTTGATCTTTCTCTAATTTTCTTTGGAGATCATTCTCTAGTGTGTGTTTGTTTTTTGACTGGAAAAACCTTCTCCATTTTGCTACATTGGCAGCCCGCGAACTGGACAAGAAAAAAACGCTGCTCCTCTAAGACATATTTGACTGAATGCGAGGAAGCCTTTCACAAGCTAAAAGAACTGTTGCCACACATAGGTCAGATTTATTGTCCATGTTGATGGCTCTGATGTGATGTGCCAGTTCAGGGAGAATCTGGCAAAGAGATCCATCCTCTTCCTGCACAGACTATGGAAGTAAAATAATGCCAAATGTTTTTGAAACAAAAAGCATGTTGAATTATACTATTTGGAAAAAAATATACATTGCATTACCCCTGCTTGTATTTTAATGCATTGTATTTTTAGGGCTTGCATTTTTATGGGCCAAAAATTAGCACGGTTGAATATTTAAGCTGTGAATATTTAAAATCAACATTTCAAAAACCTTTTCATTAGTAAAAATTCAATAATCCATATTCACCTGTCATATTTCACTTCCAAAATATTCAAACTGATTAAAAATACAACCTATAATATTCAACAGGCGGTTTTCGGCCCATTTTATTTCGCTTTGCTTATAATGAATGAATAATCAAAAGAGTTTGTTGGACAACCTGATTAATTGATTGTAATATTAATTTAGCCACATCAAATTAATCTAATTAACAGACCCAAATATTCATAATTAATCATAACAAGTTATTATTGATAATTAATATTTCATAAAGCTAATTTTTTACAGCTCTTTTGGGCTTGTTGAAGAAGAGACGAGCTGCGGCGTTCTGAATCATTTGTAGAGGTTTAGTTACACATTTAGAGTAAGGTTTAGTGAACATTGCAGTAATGCAATGGGCCTAGACAAGAAGTTGCGTGGCATGTAGGGCTGGGCAAAAAAATCGATTTTTCGATTAATCGTTTTTTAAAATGTGTTCGATTCAAAATTGATTCTCAACGGCCACGAATCGATTTTTTCCATATAAAGGGCTCGCGGACACGGTGCTGCATCTTCTCGGCTCTCTGCACTAGGCAAACGCCAAGCGCTGCAGCTGTCGATACACACACGCGTTCAGGAGTCGGGACATGACGGAATATTCACTTAACAATCGGGCCAGCATTGCAACCTATGATCGTAACTAACGTTTATCATTTTCACGTCTTTTTGTGTTTTACAAGCAATGTTAAACCATCCCATGCTCGCGCACTCTCAGAGATGTCTTTCACTGCCTCACAAACAGCTCGCCAGAAACAAAATTTTTGTCCCTGGATTATATCACTTTAACAGTTAAAGAGTAACTAAACCCCTGGTCAGAGCCTGACTCCACCCACTAGCAATATTTGAAAAATGCTGAAAAAATGGGCAGACCCCAGCGGGGCCAGGGGGCGTGCACCTGAGACCCGCCGTGAGTGACAGCTGCTGTCAGACTCTAAAATAGAGCGAGACTGGAGTGACGCAAGTAGCTGCCTTTGCAACAGAGCGGCCATTTGAAGTCGAGGACTTTTCTCCCTCACCTTCACCTGAAGTGGATGAGGTGAATTGTATGTAGACACAGGGCCAAATCCATTCGAGCCGCTGGCTCAAACTGCGGTCTTAACTCCCGCATCGCGACCGGCATCTGATAAGTTTTGTCGTCGTGTTGATCTCAATAGCGCACGCTCTGTGGGCATGTATTCATATTTATATTCTGCCGCTATGTGAAAAATTCCAGCAAAATGCACCGGCTCGTTTGTTGACCCCAGAGGATTAACTTTATCGTAACCATAAATTGTGATTAAAATATCCATGATCACTCACATCAAGACGCCGCTGCGGTGGAGGAGTCCATGCAGGAGGAGCAGTGTTTGGCACTGCGTGTGGAGCTGTGTGGAGAAGCCCATGTCCACCTCTATTCCGTCACTATCCTGATCACTGTACTAAACACTGATAAATCTATGCTAACTTGAAGCTATCCTAACTGTACTATGCTACTAGCTACAGAAAATAATCTAAATTATCTATATAATGCTATGCTAAATAGATGCAACAATACTCTATCCTGATTGTTTTCATAAATAACTATATAAATGCTATGCTAACTAGATGCTAATATACAGTAGTTTTGACGGAACCAGATGCTTTTATACCAGGGGCTGCCAAGGGCGTGGTGAGCTCGCACCAAGGGTGTGACAGAGTCGCGTCTGAGAGTTCCCTACGTCAGAAAGTACCCCTACTGCAGGAGCTTTCCGTTTAACCTGAAGAGGGCAGCACTCAGACGTTTTTACACCATATATTTGAAAATCAAAACACTTTATACTCAATTGTCAAAAAATGTACTCGAATCAATGAACAGCATTTATGAAGCTCCATTCTTACAGATCATTAACTAAAAAAAAGTTGTTTTGGTGTTTAGTTACCCTTTAAAACACGCGACATTATGTCAAAACTCTGGTCTTGGTGAGTAACCTCGTAAAGACAGTCGGTAATGTCTTAAATTAGCATTAAACGCGTGTGACAGAAAGTTAATGAAACAGTATGGATTCGCGCACTAGTTCTTAAAGTGAACGCAGCCATTTGTGTCAGTCATTAATTCTGTTGTCATAACAACAGAATATAGTATTAATTGTAAGCAATCAGAATTAAAAGCCTTTGTATTTAATTCAGTCTGGACTAAAAAGACTATCCAGTGTTATTTTACATTGGATTACTTTATTCAGTTTCTGTAGTATTTCTGACGTACCCAAAAAACTACCCCAAAATGTCTCTTAATTTGTGTCTTTATTCTATTGTATTTATTTGTGCTACTTTTTTCAATTTAATTCAAAGATTGAAATCAAGCTTCCATACATAAACTCTTAAAACAAAAACAAAAATAAACAAAAAAATTACATTACCATTTAGGTAAGATCAATGTAAAAAAATGTCTAAATATTTATATATTTATTTATCTATATCTATCTTAAACATAAAATAACATGATACTGTTTGATCAAGCTGTGCGACTGTTCTGACTTTTTTTGCATATTGCATCAAAATCCTGTTTATTCTTTATATGCATTTAGTGTACCTAAAATAAAAAGAGTTTTATATACAGGTTTATGGCTCTTAATTTCTTTGTATTAATTAACCACTAGTAAACTTATGTCCACTGTTCTTTTTTATAAATATAGGATTTGTATTACATCTTCATTATAGTCGAATCGAGAATCAAATCAGGAATCGAGAATCGAAGTCGAAAATTGAATCGAGAATCGAAATCGAATCGAACTGAGAGCTTGTGAATCGAAATCGAATCGAAATTGAAATGTGAATCGATACCCAGCCCTAGTGGCATGCTCAGTTAGGAAAGGCCTGATCTTCCTGATGTTGTGCAGTGCAAACCAGCATTATCGAGTTG